GATGGAAGCCCCAGTAACGTGTTTAGCCCTAATGATTTGCGAAGTCAGAAAGGGCCAAAAGGCAGAGAATATGACGGATCTAATGCGTGAGAAAGATGATGCTAGAAAAAGGAAGGGAGCTAAGCACATTACAGGAGCCAGTGCCTTGGCGGGGGCACGATCTCAGCCGGGTGCCCAGGAACGGGCTTGCGTGCATCTGTGATAGCCCGGGAACCCGGCGCGCCGGTTTTTATTGGGTTCCGAAAAGCCAGGCATGATGTGTCAGGACGCTAGGATGGGAAAAATGTGGGCGATTGTCACCTTGAAGGGGATCAGGCTTTTTTTTTTGTCCTTCTCATTGATTCTTCTACATTATTAAAATGGAGCCAACTGAACGGCCGGGTTTCCTGAAAACTACACCCTGATCGAGTTGGCTTACTTTTGCTCCTAGCTACAGTGGTAGATTTGGGTCGTGCCATTGGTGGAACGTGGCTGGGGCGCTGCAATAAAATGTCTCGTTCCTACCAGTAGCTTGATTGGATGGACCGCGTGGCATGGTCTACCAGGAAACTATGCGAGCGGGTTATACGTTGGGGCTCATCCTGCAGACTTTCAGAGAATACCAGTGTTTGGCTAACGTGCGGAAGTAAGCCAAGCATCCGCGTTTGTTGACTTGGCCAGTGCCCCACAAGTACGGACAGGCTTTTCCCTGGATTCGAGTCCAGATGCATCCTTGTACACCCACTGGAACTGAGTTCGCCGGCCCCTGGACCTACAAGCGGCCAATTCGTTGGCCGGCGTACCCCACTCGAACGCATGCAGGCGAAACGCTGGGGGAGACAATCCCGCGGACTTTTGCGGACAGACACGGTAAAATACAGGTGGCTGAGACGATCCTGTGGACTTTCACGGACAGACGTGGGTTTCATGCAGGAGAATAATTTTATGGCCTTGGCATCCAGGCATACATACAGTCGACTCCAGTCAATGAAAACGCGGGTGAAAGCACATCTACCGCTATAACAGCTTAGTGCAGTGTTCGGTTCGCTCCAATGCAACCATTCACTATTGAATGATTGGAAGTTTCACGATGGTCGGAGCCAAGACGACACGATTCGACGACTTGCCGACGGTTCGGAATCTTCGCTTTAAAAGGCCTGGCCAACCAATAGAATATTTCCATTCTATGGAACAAATGAACGCCTCAATTTTCATAATGGAAAACCCCAACAATTCAGATTTTCGTATTATGCGCCAATCTGTTCCGCTTTACATGTAGACCTCGCCATGACCCGCGGGTAACCCTGACTACCCGGACCGCGACCCGGACCATGCAGGTTTCAGGGTCGTGAGTCCTGACCCTGACCCTCCGTCCGGTCCGGGTCGTTAGGAGTATGACCCGACCCTGAGGGTCACGACCCTCCCCCTAGGGTCGTCAAATAGTGCAAACATCAACAAGTCACGCGTAGCATAAATTATGCAGATTTCGGAGGTATTTTTGAGTATCTCACTTACAGCATTTGTAGGCTAGCTTTTTTTTTTAGCTTTAACTCCGAATAAATTAAATCAAATTAAATTAAACGAATGCAATAAATCAATAAAACTACTTGTTCGACGTTTCATATCCATCAAGCAACCTTGAACGTTTGCGGATTCTGCCTGACACTCGGTGCTGTGTCTTTGGCAGAGGAATCACTTCTTCATCATCTTCTTCCTCATCATCCGCCGCATCCTCAACTATATCGATTACGCGTCTTTTGCGCAGTGCGTTTGCAGATGGCCCCTGCGAAGTTGCTGGGGCTTGCGAAGTTGCTGAGAGCTGTGTAGAAGGCCCTTCATCCTCTTCATCATCACTGATTGAATCAACGGAGATTTGTTGCTGTGTTCTCTCTTCCTTTGCAGCCTGTATCTCCTGGGCTGAAAGATATTCAGAAAGCATTATTCGCTCCTCTTCGTGAAACTCGAATCTTGATGTACACATATACATCATAAGGTCCGAGATTGTTTGAGGTTGTAGAGAGCCTCGACTATAATGACACACATCTCGTGCAGAGTTGAAAAGCTGCTCTACTCCTGCACCACTAGCTGGAATAGAAAGAATATCTCGTGCAAGCCTCGCCATTGCAGGGAATTTATCTTGGTGATCTTTCCACCAGGTTCGAGGCTGGGCATTTGGGACTGTGTCTGAAAGATAAATCAGCAATTCTTCCCACACAGATCAAGAGATACTCACCGCTATCAAGATACCTTGTAAGCTCGTCTGACTGTACCAGCTGTGAAATCTGAGATTGCTGCGACTCGTCTCGAACACAGGCTAAATCAAATTCATCCGTTAGAGTGTTCATTGTAGGGGCACGCAATACCTGCTGCTCTTCGGTAAAACTCTTAGAGTACCTCTCAACGCAGGACTCAAGGCTCTGGCGATAGGTTGCTCGGTAATCAATCCCTTCCACTGGGTCTGGGTCCTAGTCCGAAGTTGAGAAGGACTGGAGTTTATCCTGTGGAGAAAGGATTGTGCCAATGGGGTAAAGATAACCGTCAACCTTGTCGGTGTCTCGGTAGTAGGTTGAAAGCTTGCTTTTTGCCGTTCGAGGGATGTAAGCATCACCTGCTTCCAAGCAACCCTCTTCCGCCTAAACTGTCTGATCGACTTTTCAAGGTGGTCAAAGAGCTTATTGTAGACCTTAAAGACCCGGTAGATAGTAACATCCTTTGTCCTTGACAGAAGGGTTGTGAATTGGTGAAACGGTTGAAGAATGTAGAGAAGATAATCAACTTGCTGCCACTGCTCCTGACTTAAGGCAAAGTGCCCTTGGCCGTACTGGGAGCAGAACGCATCGAAGGCCTGCTGGAGCTTCTTCGCGCGTGTGAGCATCCAGAATGTTGAATTCCATCGAGTAGTAACATCCTGGATTGGAACAAGCTTTGGCTCCTTTGTTTGCAAGTTGTAGAATGACTCTCTGCGTTGAGGACTCGCATTGATGAAGATTGCAAGGCTTCGGACCTAGGATGTAGATTAGTAAAATAAGATGAAATTCAGTTCAAAGGTCTTACCTTATTCAGAGTGTCCACGATCTCTCTTTTCTGCTGCCTCGCACGTAGGACTATCTACACAATCATCAGACCATGTCTGCTCAACCGTATCATTCTTTGGAATGGCCTTCATCTTCCCAAGGAGATTCCTAAGACTAAGCTGGATCACGTGTGCAATACAAGGTACCCGGATGATAATGACGTCGTTCGAGGATTGTAGTGACTCAATTGCCTCGTGGACACTTGCCAGGAGAGACTTGTTGTTTGAAGCGTTGTCGGTAGTTAACGAAAGCACTCGATCTGTGATCTGGTGCTCCTGCAGCAACTGGAAAACTACTTCACTCAAATTTGCACCTGAATGAGATCCATGTAAATGTTCAAATCTAAGCAATATCTCACGATACTCCCACTGTTCGTCAAGAAAGTATCCAGTGATAGCCAAAAATGCCTGCTTGAATGGAGATGTCCAGCAATCAAGGGCAAGTGATAGCTTAGGGCCAGAAGGGAGTGTCTGAAGGATACTCTTTTGGTTCTCACGGACTAGATCTCGTAGCTGCCGGCGCATAGCCTTAGCGGATGGAATTTCTGGCATTGATGGCGCAAGCCGAGCGTAGGAGATAAGATCACGGAACTCGGGATGCTCGAGAAAAAGGAAGGGAAGATGCGACACAGTAAGGAGCTTGGCAAGCTTCTGCTACCAAACTCGCTGATCGAATCTTCGTATAGTCGCATTCTGAGCCTAGAAGTAGAGGTAAGAGTTAGTATGCTCAAAATCATACATAGCAAGGCCTCATACATACAGCATGCTCTAATGCAAGCTTGATATTTGGCTTCTTCCCTGTAACATTGACGACTTTCCGACAGTTCACCCCATTATAATGCTTGTTCATTGAAGTTGTCCCTGAGTGAGCCCACCCGGGGTGGTCAAGCACCTTCCGACACTGATGGCACATAACTCCAGGCTTTCCATCTTTTTCGAGGGCAACCTGGTCATGGTATTTCCAGCACTCCGCGTCACGTTTCCCATCCCACGCCAACCGTTTTTTCTTCCCGAAGTCGGTTTGAAGCCACCAATTCACGAACTCATTACCCATTGCTAGGGAATATAGGATGAATGTCCTAATCCGATCAGGACAAATGCGATGAAGGCAATTCGGACCAGATAACGCGTCTAACGTGTCGAGGGTCTGTGGACTTCCAGACAGCACAGGAGAATAAAGCTGAAATGGTGAAGTATCAGCAACATATTCAAGATGATCTGACGGTACTGCCTCATAAACAGAGGAGGAAAATGGGTCGGAGAATTGGGGCATGAGGAAGGAGAGGTGAGGATGAGAATACTACAGTTCTTACCTATAAATTTTCTTTCTCACAATTAGATGAAGGACTCAGGGATAGAAGTGCGTAATCAGTCTGTTTGTCAATTTTTTCTGGTTGATAGAGATGATAGATCATATCTTCAGCTCCACTTTCTCATGATCGCCTGAGCTAATTAGCTAAAATTTAGAGTCAGAAGGGTCGTCCGGGTTCCCCTGAGGGTCACCCAGACAGCCTACTAGCTTCCATGTTATACCCGGTGGTTTTGATTGGGGTACGGAAGGCTGAACATCGCGTGAAAGCGCGTTGGTGGCTGGCTTAGAGGCATATGCTAGAAAATCCCACCTTGATCCCAAAATGAGAGAGCAGCAAGCAACGGGAATACTGGATTTCTCTACGCCAAAGAAAATACACCATAAACGAGAGAGAACTTATCCAGCGAAGGGGTGCGCACTATATTACTTGTTGCATTACTGAGCTCGCGGCCTTGGCGTCTGCCCCAGGCAGAAAATGTAAGAACCGCGGCAAGAGGAAAAGCGTTTCCCCGATACCTTGAACCCCTTTCCTGATTTCAATGCCCCTTACCAGGGGTTACTCGCGGCCCCTTTCAGAGGCAATGAAGAGCGTTGTACCCTGCAATTCCCTTGGCTCAGGACCATGACATCGTCGCCATGTTAAAGACCCGTTCACTTCTACGAAGCGAAATTACATATAGTGCTGCAAAGGATAACGACGCTAATATTCTCCACGAGCTAGGCTACCGAGACCAAAAGATCCGATTTTTTACCCATCTTTACCGGAATCGAGAGCTGATCAAGTCGCTCGTTGCCCGTCATCTCTGCCTTGGGTCTCAAGATCTGTGTCATGTTGTCGATGTGGAGGACTGGATACACGGAAGCTTTAATGTTTGTATTCGGGTTGATATTTTTGGCTCAACAGGAGTGGTCGGGAGGCAGGTCATGATTCGATTTCCCCTGCCGTATCGGATTGGGGAGAATTGTTGCCCGGGCAATGCCGATGAAAAAGTCCGTTGTGAAGCCGCACGGACCGATATGCAAAGCAACCACGCCAAGCCATTACAGGCATATATGCACGAGAGCACCGAGTTAGAGCGTCACGTCGAGCCATACCAGCGGATATTGATGTTTTTTGCCCGCACGCAAGCCCCCCATGAGTGGAACAGTCCCATATACCGGTTCAAACGCCGACAGCGTATGACGCATTATGGCGGGCCGCCGAGGGTCGTACCGGGCCGTCCCGAGCCGATCCCGAGCGAGGACCCCGACGACCAGGCCAACCGGTTAGAGCCCGTCGAAGCAAGGTGTATGGATTTCGTGATCGAATTATTGAACCAACAGACCTAGTCCAGCGAATACGAGTGCGCATTAGTATGTGCGTTGGCCGTGTTAGGCGTGAGCGACCACGAGGGCGGACGACCATGGAAGGATCCCCATAGTTATCCGCCGATTTTGTCCAGCGTGATCAAGATTTCACGGTTTGTAATCGTGCATAAGGCATATTTATTAGACCCGGATGCCCGCGAGTTATTACAAGGAACCCAGAACCGGTGCGATGGGGAGCGGACGGGCCCCAGCCCGATGGAAGATCCCGGATATATATTCGGTGATGAAGGGTATAGTAGCAGTCCGCCATCGACACCACCACCACATACACCGTCCACACCGATATTATCCAGCTCACCCGCATTCAACAGTTTGCCCGCGAGATCCAGTTCGCCGTTGGTGGCATTCACCCAGCAGGAGCGGCAAGGACAGAAGACATCATTCCGCGAATGGATTCGCATTATGACCAGTGCATTTGGTCCACGGCACCGCCAGCCCGATAGAATGGATATTGGATTTACGCCTACTGTCCAATTCCTTTGGGAATGGTCCACCATTCCACGGATTTCGTCCATGCACCCCATAGTAAAGAATCTGGTAGACTGCAAAGACCTGGTCCGCCATTACACGCAAATAGCCCGTGCACTCTGGCCAATCATAGCGCGATGTTCCCTGGTACATGTCCAGTTACAGGCGTCACCGAAAAAGCAAAGCGTTTTCTCAAACGCGAAGTACGCGTTCCCAAGAGAAAGCGAATATTGTCACGCAATCCTCAACGTCTTTCTCAACGATATCGATTTACTCCGCAGCGTTGAGATAGATCTGCCAAGCCGATCTTGTCGTCCAATGTCACCTGCGTATCCGTTTTCTGTATCATCTCTAGCCTGCAGAATACAGCATCATTTGCATCTCAGATTGAACAAAACATGCTGGAATGTCCGTTCGTTGTCATAGACTTGGCAAAATTCTCAGTATGCTACCGTAAGTTCGTATGGGGCTTGCGGGGGCTATGTGCAGCAATATAGTCTCCTCGCAGTGCATCATCCATCTCAATTTAGTATTTCAGTGACATCTGTGTCAAGGAACGCTGGGCCATACAAGTAATATCAATCCTGTTGGTCTCCACCACTTTCGTATAAGCTCAGTCTGGCTCTGGCTTATATCGAAACCAGTACTAATTGCAACGTTATCGAAATACTGGTCCATATCAGACTCAGCGACATTATACTGTGTGGGCTGAAAGGCTTCCAGAATCGATAAAGGTAACTCACAGGTCCCTGTCGTCCACCGGACGTTTTACTATGCGCGCGAAGAGATCAAGTTCACATTCCTGTGCATCCTATCATAGTAGAGAAAAGGTTAATGCCTATGACTTCTTCATAACTTGGTGTTTCATTTTATTCATTTTTAGTGCTAGCTGCGGTCCCAATAGTGTTGACAGAGAGAGGAAAGCTAAGACATTTGTCAAACTGGCTCCAGTCGAGGAGAAACATGCCTCTCAAATCGGGATCTTGGAGAAGTTTGCAACTGGTCTTATGGAATTTTTCGCTCCAGCCATGAGCCTGACAGGTCTAAGTCAATTAGCAGTAGCACCTAAATAGCGTGGTATCTCAATCGCACCTTATTGCAATACCAGAAAAAAGAGCACTTAGAGCACTTCTTCATGGAGGTTGAGCTTTTTCCACATCCGTGACATTTCTTACGACCATCAGACTCTGCTCCGATATGCTGAATTTGATCACTCAACACAAGCAGGGTTTGCAGCGGAGTTGGGAATATCTGCGTCAAGTACACTTTATGAGCATCTTCTAGGAGTCAATCGAATGATATCGGGGGGTTTTACCTTCACCCTTGCCGGATCTTCATGACGGATACCCGGTTCATCAAAAATGAAAGCGTGCTGTTGTGCGTAGAGAATTGCTACAGTGTAGCCCCTTCGAAGTCTCGCAGGCTCTAGCTCCCTTCCTCGATCATCAGTATAGAAAAATAGAGGAATCTTCCTCCCGTCGACATCGCTTATCTTCATGTGTAGACGGGCAAGAAAATTGAAGTCCACAATCTCCGCCAGAAAACACCAATGCTGTTGTGGCCGGTCCGAGCCCCTATAAAAGCCCATATCTACACCTCCATCGTCTGGGAGGCTACTGAAGGGAGGGAAGGTCGCGCGGTTGTGCAGACCTCTCTGCGCCCCCGACGGTGGTGATACCTCCCTCTTCCACAGCCAGTCGTCGAACTCTGTGGACCCAAATGCGTTCGGAACATCATCCACTGCCCTCTTCCATTGCATTGTCATTCCGTATAGCGGTAGCTGTGAAGGATTTTGTTGCAGTGCCTCATACTCAATCACCTCGTTGCTATCACTACCGCCGGAAATCCACCAACTTCGTACCGCTCTTTCTGCAAAGATGCGTCCTCTTGCCAAATCACCATGCACAATAGCAACTTGCGCAGCATCCAAGTACACCCTGGACAAGCCTGGATCATCCGGGCCTGTCATATTATATAGCTGAATCTCTCGGTCAAGGTAGCGCAAGGTTCGGAGAGGGGATGATAAGATCCCCTTAAGGCCAAGATGACCGACGAGACGATCCAGATGATCAATCTCTTTCAGAATCTTATCATTCCTTTGTATTTGTTTAGGTGGCAACGAGCAAATACGACAGGAGCATGAAAACTTAAATTTTGCTCGTAGCGCCTCCTGTCGGGCTTGCCGGCTGTTGTGGACCGCTAGATAATATACTGTGATTTCTTCACCTTCGCTGATGTCTCGTAGTGCATGGACGGTATGCCGCTTGATATTCTCGTTCCAGGTCTTCTGGGTGTTGTTATCGCAAGCATGGTTGATGCGGCTTGCTTCAAGGAAAACTCCTCCTCCGGTCTCGCCGTCCTCAATTGAGAAGGCGTTTGTGCGGATGATCCCGATACATTGTTCGGCGGGATTCTCGTAGGGGTAGATATTGTGTAAAGAGAGGAATGCCAGTCGCTGTTGTTCAGTGAGCGCATTGACTTGTTGGCGGACGTATCTCTGTAGCTTTTTACTGCCCAGTTGGTCGTGGTTATGAGGGATTCGGATGACAGGTTCTTCGCAGAGAATCCGTGTGCCCTGTGAAATGTTTATGGTTGCAACAAGACCTTTTCCCTTCCCTGTAACATCCTTCAACTCGTACATGTTGTCTTTTGTGCAGCATATATGGTTATGTGTATAACCAGGCTCGATGTTGAATGCATTATGCTTTCAAGAGTTAAATACTCGACTTATGTTTATAAGATATTGTAGCAAAGGTGGGGTTGGGCAGAGTTGGGCAACCTTGCATATCCATATGCCGGTTGCCTAAGTATTCTAGTCTGAAGAAGAGATACATGCACAATACAGGAGATCAGGAGCCAATACATCCCCGCAGGTTAAGATCGAGTCTCCCACACCACACGGTAAGCACACGCAACCGTGATTCAATTTCCCACTGATCCGCTCAAGAGCCGACTACTACTAGTAAAGAAGACTTCGGAGGATCCCAGCGGGAGTCATAACCTATTATGGCTAGTTATAGCCTTTCCCATATGATTTTCTTGTAGCATGTGTATATATTGCTTATATTCTCTAGAAGGTATCTTCCTTCGGGACCGGCATAGGACCATGGGGGACTGTGTGCGGTCCGACCCGCCATTAAAAAGGCCAAGACCGCATATTCCGGTCTCAGTCTTGAAGTCGGGACTGATACTCCATTTTTGGCCTAATTCATTTTGAAAAGTTTGGCCTGTGCCATACATAGAGCATAGAGAGTTTGAATAGCCATTTCAAGACAGCGCTAGACATGAGGCTGCAATCTACTTGCCGTAGAGTTATCCTGGCGGTTTGTCCCAGATCAATGTATGCTAATGTACTGTAGTGCGCGATTTTGGCCGCATAGGACAATATCTTCTAACATTGATTTGATCGCATGAAGGCTCTCTATCTCACATTATGACCAACCCACGTCCACTTCTTCAAATTCTCCATCTTGACATGATTGATCTCATAAATTCGGACCCAAGGTCGGTACTTTGGAACAATAGGAGCTTGTGGCTTCCCTTTCCCACATATTGAGACTATGTTTACGTCGAAACAATGTTCGTAGGCCTGATTGAGGCTCTGTGACCACTCGCCCTATTGCTGCGTTAGAATAGAATCATCAAGAAGCTCTAGCAAAGTACCGGGGTTATATACCTGGGGACAGGTGAGCTTTGAAAATAGTTTCAAGAACTTCTTGGCATCTTCCCAGTCGCGTAGTCTAGATCCACCCCCCATTAGGTATTGATCTAGACGATAGCCATGCTCTCCCCATGCTTGAAACACGCGAAATCCTTCTCGGCCAATAGCTAGCACGAAGGAATGTGCAAAAGACGAATAACGCATATCAGAAGATCCCCTTTCGGCTCGTTCAATCATTTCAACGTCCACTAAGCTGACTCCCAAAACCGTTGTTTCACCAATTTTGCCGTCAATTGCCGCCTTTTTAGCTCGGGCGAACCTTTTTGGGAGGTCGGCTGACGGATTGCTGATTATATCAGCCATGGTTGGAAGACCGTTCAGGGACCGACTCTGAAATTTAAGAGCCTCAAATATGGAATCAGAATCGGAAGGACAAGCAAACAAAAGAACCAGAGTGGTAGCAAGCTTGCAAGAGTTCCAAGGAATAGCCTGGGCAAAGATGGGAGGCAGGTCTTGTGCACGGTATATGTCGACCACTGTGGTGCCTTCTAGTACGGCACACTGAAGAGCATGGAATTTGATGGAGGCATCTAAGGGTCCCTTGTCAAAGAACTTCTTCACTTCCCAGTCTAGCCCCTCCAGTGGCGTTAATTGAAATCCCTGATCTCGACGCGCAATTGTGGCTGCTTCATCATCGCTCAGAAAATTCAACCTCTGCTTAGCTTTTTCGATCTTTGTTGGTGTTGATCGGATCTGTCCACTTAGCTGAAGGACGTCATATATCGGATGGCCGGGGGGAGGTAGAGATCTGGGTCATTCTTTTTTAGCCCGTAGATCTGGTAGCTTGACAGGGTAAATTACCGGTTTTCCATATTTGGTAGGTTTGCGGACAACCACGTTAGCTTAGAGAATCACAGGAGGTTTTGGGAAGAATGAGGAGCTGGGGAGCTGCTTTTGAAATCCTGTCATGGTATAATGGAACAGATGCAGAGATCGCATGACTAATTTGTATGAAGCGACCTGTGCACTGGTTGGCAAATTAAATGTTTCTAACCCGCTATTAGCTTGGCGCAGATACCGGTGTGTTGTCTTGTACAATTGCTTGCTCTGCTTGGGCGCCCCTCTTCTGACTGGTCAAATCCCCACGCTTTGTGCCCCCTTAAAGAAGCCTGTCACAATCCAATGACGCCACCTCTATACGCAAGTTGCTGCACCAAGAGCCAGTGGAAACACACTTCGCCCGCAAGCGGTAAACTACACGAACGCGTCCACCTTGCTAGCTTGATTGGGCTTTATCCGGAGCCATAGGCCGTTGGAGCCACCTAACCAAGTACGTTCCCTTCCGTCTTGTTTCTGTATAGGGGACTTTCACGCGCTGCCTAAGAGGCGGCGCTCTTTTCAGCATGCCGACAACCGCACGATAATCGTCAATGTCGCCATATGGGACCAATCAGGCTGTGCACTTCAAACGGCACAGGAATAAATGGGTCTGATTCCGAAGCCGCGCAGACCGCTGTCTCCCCACGAGACTTTGTCAACCACTATGCTTCTGTGCTTGAGTGGTGGTATCAAATCCATAGCACTAGCCATCCATCCAACCTATATACGGCTGTAAGTGAGCTCAAGTAAACGTGGGAGGTCCGCATCTGTATGGACTCGAATGGTTCTCAGCCACTGGTTCATTCAAAACCCAACTTGATCCCTCGTTTTGATAACATTTTTTTATACTCTCCAATGGGCTGAAGATAGAATTTGAACAGCACACCTTTCTGTGAATAAAAGCCCCTTGCTGTCATTTCCCGAAATCTGTCTGTTTGCCTACCCCTTCCTGGCCGTGGACCGGGACGTGCCGTGCCGAACTCCCCGTAACCGTGCCAAGCGCCCAACACACCGCCGTGTATTGGTGCGCCCCGCTGGATAGCCATTTTTCACCAGATAACCAAATTTTACAATTGTATCAACTTCCCATACAAAGGCATATTCAACGAAATATGGATGCAAATACAGTAGTATTCGAATTCAGTTATACCGCCGCACTCTTGCGACTTGATTCCCGGATAATAGATCCGGCAGTCGTGAGTCCTGATTGGACCGATGATAGGGGGCCGCTTTTCAGACCGCTTCCTTGACTGGTAGGCGAATCTTACAGTACAGTAGAAAGACATAGGGTGTATTTTACATGAAATTGGCTGTACAAATGTGAGTATGCGCCTTGCTCTGTTCCCCTCTTTCTGTCTGCCACAGCATTATTTTACGCTCTAGTTACATGCACACGTGAGCACCTGAGTATATACCCGTGGACACTCTCACTATAGGCCTGTCTAGTGCTCGCTGTCTCCATACTATTCCACATTTTCTATTATTCCACAATAATGACCAACGCATCCGAAGCAAGTGCTGAACACTTCGTAGCCAAGTAAGTATCTGAGATGTCTTTGGAGAGTAGTTGTCCGACCACTTTGTTTTCTAGTATTCTTCCCCTCTATCATGGCCCTTCCGTCAAGGTTCGAATACAGCCTAGCAACAAAGAGTATGCAATTTTCAAAAACCTTCTCTGCGCGGAATCGCCGGTCTTCTCAAGAATGTTCAACGGTGAATTTCTAGAGTCGCAGCAGCAGACAGCCACTCTAGAAGAGACCGAGGATGACATCTCGGTGCGTAGCCTTGAAGCACTCTTTCAATGGCTTTACCTACACACTATCGAATTTGGGATAGAAGACCCAGGAGAGCATATCTCAGCCGCCATGGAGCTCGCACGGCTTGCAGACAAGTACGATATTGTTGGCTTGGAGGCCACAATGGCCCAATACATCAAGAACATCTTAAAATCCAACCCTCATCCAGAGAACCGTGCTGCTTCGCGAAATGTGGATTACAACACTTATTATCTTACACATGATCATATTGCCTCAGCAACCTTGTTGCCTCGAGGGCATCCGGTGCGAAGTGTTCTAGCTGCAGCATCTGTTGATGGCTTCCTTCGAAGCCCAGAAGACAAGTTCAGCGAAGAGATTCACGCCTACCCTTCGTTCGGAGCTGACCTTCTCCAAGAGACTATGCTTGTCCTACATACGGTGAAGCCCCTTCAGGCTGCCACTTTTGAGGACCCTATCAGCGGGGAAAGATCACAGCTAAACTCGAACGTATATTACCAGGAGTAAGCAGGTTGCTTGAATGAAAGCTTTCCTCGTCGAGGCGTTTGTGTATACAAGACAAGTAATGTTGGACATCTAAGAATCGTGGCTCCTGGCAAAGTCAAGCTGTGGAAAACCCAAAGTTGGCAGATATGTCGAGAGCCTGGGCCATCGTAGACCAGAGCCATCCTGTATCAAAGTAGTCCATCATAACGTCGAGAAATATACATTTTCTGTGGTGCAGTGATAGAAGGATTGACTCCGGAGCCTTGATTTTCAAATCAATCGCACCTGCTAAGGACATGTCTCTTGAGCTGCATCCCGTAGCCACAGAAGCATGTTAGATATTTTGCTAATATGTCACGCATATCTTCTTAGTAATTTAAATCGTTGCAATCAGAATAAGTATGATAGGTAACGCGCGAATAGCCTTTTAGTACACCCGCCACAATGAATGCAGCGAGGCGGGCTCCGCATTGCAAGATAATCCGCTCGAGGACTGGCATATACCAAAGGCTTGGCCGTTCATTTCAGAAAAGCCTCCCCTCTGTTCACCATGGTTGGTGAGTTGTGCAATTTACAGGAAGCGGACACCAGGGTCCTCGAGTGATGATGAGCAAAAAGTGCAGGCCTCGTAAGAGAGCGAGACGAGCGTTTACTACAGAACCATGGGCATCGAAGTGGGCCAGCCAGTGGGCCAGCCAGTGGGCCACCTATGTAAACTATGGCTAGAGAGAGGCTAGCTGGCGATCTTGCCAGATCGCCTGATCTACGAAACAATTCCAAGGAGTTCTATAGCATTACGGTACATGTAATATAACGGTACCTTATTGATAACTAGTGAAATCAAGTGTGCATTTTGCGCGTACGTTTGTCGGTCCACCGACATCATCCGGAAGCATTGGTGGATTGAACGTTAGTTTTCTGCGTACCAACATAGCCAGAAAGCCCGGCCATCTGAGGGCCGCGGGACAGCCTAACCCTTCCGGGTCGCTGAAAGAGACCGTCGGGGAAAACAATCTAGCATATCAATCTTTCTGTGTAGCCCCCTTTTAATTGATTGATTGATAGAAAAGGCAGTATCTCGGGTTGAGGTCGCAGATGCCAACTTTTGCCAAGCGGAGAAAGTTGATCAATCCAGGGTTTAAATGAGACGCCAGGTCGATCGGAATCGGGGAAAACTCCTCCCACTAGATTGATAAGGCAAGCGAAGCGACTTCTCGTATACGTGCCAACACATATACAAGTGGGCATACCTGTTTGCCGCACACGTAAGACAAACATGGGTTGAGAATTCTAATATTTGAGTTACATTAGCTTCTAGAAGTATTGCCCCTTTGCGGCATTAACGAAAACTGGCCTAACATGCCTGCCTAACCGAAAATGGTAATTCTTGGCAGATGAATAGATCTTGGCACCGAGTACCACGTAATGCAGACGTGATCTTGTCGGCAATAAAAGAGGGGTCATCTCCCCATCTCTCGACGTAGTGTATGCACTGTTGGGTAGCAAAATGTTATACGTTCGTTATCGCCTTGAAAAAACAGCCGACTCCTCTGAGGGATCACCAGCCGCTTCCCTGCCGACGTCGAGTGCAGGGCAAAGTACACTTAGGTCGGACGATCCAGAACGGCGGTTACACCAACGCTGGGTGATTTTGACCTACTTCCAGTGCTTGCATGTTGGGCAAAAAGATGTTAGGGCAAAAAGGTTTTAATAAAGCCTTCAACGATATGCTTCTTGGTAACGGATTTGAGAAACCTGCTTGCCCACGCTACCGCGAACACAAAGATGACAAAGGCATTCACTACCACGTGCTGGTATATCTTGGGAAGAAACAACCAAATTGGAGCTTTTCTAAAGCGAAAGAACGTCTTCTCGTGCAGAATCTCGAGTGTAAATCGATGGATATTACTCTTCCTCCTGTTGAGACGAAAGACAAAGTTCTGTTCTTTCGAGAATCTTGTGGACTCCTGTGAGACACGTGAACTCTTGTGACTAGACATGAGCATTTCCCGCGGGACTTCCCGTCCCGCTCAAGGCTACTGAATGGAATGAATAGAGAATCCTATGTGTGACAAGTCTATCTCATGGGGGTGGAATCCATTAGGGTTTGCATTTTTGTATGGGAGAATAAAAGTGAGACCATCCCCAATCGTGTTAATTTTCACACCCCCAGTGGATTTAGCAGTTGGCGTCGGAGTATGCTTAGATTTCAGGAGTTGTATTCCCAGTATTAGATTTTGAATAGGTTCAATTTGGAGTTAATTTGACCCGTATTGGTGGAAGATTTTATGATTGAAAATCGGGGGTTTTTTTGTCTTTCGCGCCATTGCTAAGTAATTTGTAAGCCGAAGACAAACAATCAACAGTAATACCCCGGAAAATGACTTTCTTCATATGCCTGAATTTTGGACCGTTGCTGACAATGGGGTTGCTGGCGGAAAAATTGGCAGAGAAGTGGGCGCCGAGTACGTCTTCCCTTGCCGTTGGATGCCACAGATCGTGTCGCGCGCTGATAGGAGAATCACATGCATAAACGAGCTACGTTTTGTTACCTTCCTATATCTTTAAGGCCGCGAAAAGACATTGGGCTAGAGTGACCGGGGTTCTCCGTTCCTTGCCTCACCTTTGCCAATCGCATAAGAAACCGTGATTGTTCTACCCAGAGCTGAGGATATGCCGTATAACAGAGAAATTAGTCTTGTTTTAATAATTATAATTCGGCGGCACGGTGGGAGTGGGACGCCTCATTTTCTGTAATTTTATTGTGCGTATTTGACCAACTATCTCGGGTTCTCTCTGTTCTTATTCACTGCAACCGGATATTTTCTGTCCCTCCGTGATTGGTGCACTGATGAAGCATGAGTAGAACAGCTTCTGAAATAAAATATTCCATCGTTCTAGTAGTGGATGCTACGTCTCACATGCATGACGCAAAAAAATGCATGAAGCCTTTGCCCATTCAATTTTGTGCGGTCATGGTTAGACCAATACAGTAGTAGTTATAAGTCCCTACAATAATAACACAAGAAAGTCAATTTGCAACGTGACTATTCGTGTCGAATCCTAGGCTATACATCACCGATTAGCGGACCAATCAAAGACCTACACAAAGCTGCGCAGCAGCCGCGCAATACTAAAAATGACCTCACTTTTTCACACCCCCTCACATGGTACAGCGCGTAGTAGTTGGGAGGAAAACCATTTGATATTCAGCTTAACGCTCGATCAAGATTAATGGATCAGTTGCCAGAATATACCGTTTCCCTCAAGTACCTCCCATCAAATCGATATACTAGCAGGCTTCGTCGCAGACCACTCCAAACTCGAGCCCATTTACGCCTTTAATAGTTGGACACACTAGGAAGTTCTTTCTGCTTGCGCTTTACATCTGGCCTTCGCTAATTCTAATCTAATATGGCCGAGAAGGATATTTCCTTTCTGATGAGTGAGCTGAACTTATATCCAACTCAGCAACAAAACGCACTTATCCAGCCTTTGAAGGAGGACGATGCCCATAAGCCGAACACTCAGACAAGACGTCGTCGTCGACCTGGTCCTCAAAAAGTATGCGACAATTACACATCACCCCAGCAGAACCGCACTCCAACCCGCCGTACAGGACAAGATAGGCTGGCCACAAGATCCAACAGCTCTGCAAAGATGCCAGAACCATCTTCACCAACAAATGCCAACTTTGACTCTGCGCCAGAAGTTGGCGCGCCGAGTTCTTCCGCTGAAGCAATCGCAGCAAATGATGATTCATCATCAAAAGTCCGACCGGCACATGTCTACATCGTTCAGATCATGCGACCCTCTGAAGAGGTTGAGGGTGTCTACTGTTCATCAGAAAAGGCAAATAACCGAGCCATGATATATCTCAATACAAAGCACGGCATCAATGCGAACGAGATCTCGGAAAAGCGAGGACGTTTTGGCCAAGCTATCGCGGCAACTAAAGCTGTAAAAAGAATGTGGATGCATACAGGCACTTTGGAGATTCTCACCTGCGGTGGAACTCCTTGGATCAGAGTCTTGAAGAAACCCTTATACTCCTGCCACGTCATATCTGGAGAGGACCATGTGTACCTATCCCTAGATCGGAGTGATGGACTATTTGTTATTGGAGCATATCAATCCCAAGACGAGGCATGGGAGGGCTGCAAAAAATACTGGACGGACTTGTCAGTTTGTGCTTCGACATTCGAATTGAAAGATTCGCACGAGAAAGGCCGAGCACAAGCCACGATTTCGGGAAGAATACATCGCTGGGTTTTGAAACATTGCAAATTGTTGTGAGCGAATGAAAGAGGTGGGTACCATCTGTCATCGTCTTTGATTCGCCCCATGATTACCGAATCGCCGTGACCTAAAAGGCTTTATAGCATGATAGCCCACAAACTCTGTAGCAAACTGCAAGCTTTTGCTTTTTTTTGGAGGGATGATAACAGAAATACTGTACCATGGCTTAACCGACTGACTTGTTTTTTTTCCAATATATCCATCCATACAAAAGTCATTATATAGAACTATATGTCTCGTATCAGTTCTCCTCGGGTGATGTCCTTTACTGGTCTTTACGAAATAGAGAAGACCATAACTGTACTGTATGTCTTACCTGGAAGAGTGGCCCATCTCTTCAGCTTTTTCAAGATCCGTCAACCTAAAAAACAAAATCGAGCTGACAAGCTTCTCATCATATGCCTCAAGATTTTCCGGTGGATTGATGATCTCAATCCACCGTTGACTACTGTTCCCGAATGCGTATAAAATCCACAGGCAGGTTTCTAAGGTTCAACAGACTGCAAACCTCATCCTTGGACATGCCGACCTCAACATTCTGCCTGAACTCAATTCAAGTTAGCACGCTAATATAAATGTGGAGCCACGGAGGCCCTTCATGGCTATTCAACGTTGAATTTCGAGTTTACCGGATATGACCCAGTTAGCCAACCATAAAGTCTTTAAAATCACCGCGTGGTCATTCGTAAAGGACTGGTGAATCGTGGATGCAAACCAGATTATTATCAAGTTTCCGATACATCAGGATTAATCTTTCTCTCGTCAAATCATCAATGAGGATGTCGCTGTCTTTGTTCACCACGGCCAACGATTTCAGGGAGAATGTCTCAGAGGAAATCCAAGGACGCCGTATAAATAGCAGGCGCACGAACCGGAGACAAAAATTCATTATTTCATTATGCTGCAGTGCTCCAAATGCGTATCCAACGATGAGTAATCATATAGATGAGTATCCCATGAATGAAGATAGTTACACGAGAACGAGCGACAAAGCGAATCTGCAGTTGGATGGTGAATTACGACAGAGCGGAGAAGTTACTCGCACAACGACTGAGTATTCACAGCGAACTATCCCAGTTGGGATTTCACCTGCCTATGTGAAAGGTCGGGACAATACAGACGTATTTCGCGAGCTGTATCAAAATTGGTATGTGATATTTATTTCTATTGGATAAAATCTGAGACAGGATAGGAAAGATGCTATTCTGGAAAGATTTCAGTCAAATCGACTGGATTTCAAGCCATTCTTTGAAGACAAGAAAGACCATTTCTCCATCATAGTCCCAGCCACCTCGAATGACAACGGCAATCGGCGAGCTCTGGGGTTCATCAAAAATGAGAAAAAGACCGGCCGAGTCATCTTGATCAACTCTTGCATGCAATTTTCCTTTGAGTTTCTCGTGATGGGGCTCATATTCAAGGATAATGATGAGCAGCTGTTAGGCTCCCATGGTGAGGGGCTCAAGCTGGCTGCGTTAATAATGAGTCGATACGGATACAAAGTGAGCGTGGCTGCAAGCCACTGTAAGTGGAGTTTTGGTCTGCATGGGAGGTACCAGTCTCTCCGTTGTGTCATCGTTCCTTCCCGAAAGATGAGGCCCGCCATTCAACGAGAGCCAGCTGACGATACGGCAAAGTTGCGCTTCCAGGATGAAAGAGACGTCACGGTGGTGATTGGGGCTGGATGGGCCAATCGAAGTCGACCGGTATCATCTGAAACGTTCTTCGGGTGGCTGTACGTCACTCTCGATATCCGCGGGCTCTCCTATCCCTCCTCGATTGTAGAGACACCTCAAGGAGACTTACTTCTGGATTCGCAATATCACGGAAGGCTTTTCCTGCACGGGGTCCTGCTACCAATTTCTACTTCAGGGATCAAGCACTTCAAGTTTCGGTACAACTTTACTCTGGGCAAGTTCAGCCGTGATCGTCAAAAATTGATCGCCAGGTGTGAGGTGGCAGACAAGGTGCGGCAAATATGGCAGTGTGCCCTACACATGCACGAGCAAACTCTACTTCCAATTTATGTCAATCTCCTCCAGAACTTTCCCCAGGTGGGCGATATGGAACAAGCCAATAGACTTTTGGAGGCGTCTACCAAGGCCCGTATCTGGAAACACTTGCTTGATGTGACAGGAAGAAAGAGATTCTTTTATAGCGAGACATCAAGCGTCCAAGTCAGTTCACGGTGAAACGTTCAAGCTGAGTATGCAATATACTAACCTCGAACAGAGTGTGGGCATGATACGAGACACCACCTGGAAGAGCCCAACCGAGACTTTCCGAGGCCCTCTAAAACCTGCTGCGCTCAGGTTCACCGATCCGGACTGTCGGGGAGGAGCAGGCAGAACTTTTCAAGAATGCTGAGATCTGTGCATCGCCCGAGTCTGCCTTTGCAAAAACAACAGACTGGGCTTTGGGAGCTTGTCTGGCACTTTCAAAGGCGACGAGAAATATTCAAGTACTCTATGTCAAAGAACTGACACAGAAGCTTGATGTGTTATACGACGCCGGACACGGTACGTTGAAAATTCATCGTCGATGGTTGGACTTTGATGAGGTGCACCAGGAAGCATCTTGTCTGGAATGGTTTCCTGATACCATAACCGAAAAAATGCGCCGTTTCTCTGCACTCACGTTGCAGAGGAGCTCTTGTATCTGTCCATTTCTTCGATCTTCAAAGCATCATCGACGCTGTGGATAACTGAGATGACATACATGCGTCAGATTAGACGTCTGCTTCGACTTCTGCCACATAGTATCAGACTCGCATCCTACTCGGGAGGCCTGATGGTCACCTGGGAACACAATGAGGCAGAATCGTTTCGAAAGCTTGGTGGTGGTGGAACAGATTACCGAGTCGTTCCCATGCAGAGGAGTGTTTCATCACCAGGTCAGAACTTCTCCACTCGGATGCAGGTAAGCTCTCCAGTCTATCATCCCGACCCGTGAAAGTATTGAAAACTGAAGTGTCACAGTACCGAGTGGGATGGAATCCGCGTCGTGTGGGTGCCGTCTCGTCTTTTAAACGCGCCGATGGTGCGTCTTTGCTGCTTTAGATTACTCCACCAGGTATATAGGGGTCACAAAGTATTTACCCACAACCCCATTTTGACATCACCCCAACAACCACCCACCTTTTTTTTCTTCCTCCTACAACACCCCTATGCCTCCTTCTGGTATAGAAAATAGCTCATTACGCAGAACAAAAGGTCAGCTTTCAACTGAGCAGCGATTAGCTATTCTCTATGCTTATCAAGCTGGTGTCACACAGTCAAAGCTAGCCATTGATTTTAGGTGCAGCCGCAAAACGATATTCAATACAATTCAGCGCTTTAAAGAGCATAACACTCTCGAATCCCTCCCTCGAAGCGGTCGTCCAAGGCTGTTTAGTGATCGAACTCGCCATTACATTTATCTCTAAGCTCGCCGGCAGAAATAGCTAAGTGTAGTCACACCTGTTAATCCTTCCCGGTCGCTAATTATCCAAGTTTTAACGGACTTCCGCCTTTTTAAATACCGATCGAAACGAAAAATCCTAATTGAAAGGGTTTTAGCTCGGAAGAGATATAACTTTGCACGGCGTTGGCTTCGAAATTGGTCGGGAAATGGAGTTCAAAGTTAGATCTTCTCAGATGAGTGTTCCGTTTAACGAACCTCGAACTGTGGACTAGACCTCGCCACGGCCCATGAGGCCCATGGGTTTTACCCATATGGGCGGCCCATGGGCTCGCATTGGGCTACTTCTACCTGCCCATGGGCCATCAAAAAAGTAAATATAGAAATCCCCGTGACTTGCACAATTTATGCGTATCCCGCCTGTATTTTATAATATTGAATTGTATCGTGCGGACATGGGATTTCATGATTATTGTGTACACCTTCATCTTGATTGTAAATAGTGTCATTAAGGGTTCGCCCCATATTCATCGTTATTTAAATCATCAATCTATCAGTTAAATTAGCTACATATCAACCTCATATCCATCTAAAAGTCTCGAGCGTATCCGACGCCTCTTTGATGGCTCACGCTGAGTACTTCTTTCTTCAAGCATTGCTGGACCAATGGGAAGGTCGTCATCTTCATCTTGTTCTTCGTCTCTATCTTCACTTTCTTTCTCTGCTCCTAGGTCTTCGTGTTGCTCCGTAGGCGTATCATTTCTTCGCCATTTATAGGATGATCTCTGGGTATTGGCGTCAAAAGCAATCCCATCCTCAGCGGAAGGGACATGATCCTCCTCTTCATCATCACTGATTAATTCATTCAGATCATCATGCATAAACTGAGCATCTTTCTCCTCTGCTGCTATCTCTTGTTCTTCCTTTGTGAGGAAGTCCCTTACAAAGGCTAGCTGTTTCTCTTCAATGTCAAATCGGGTAGCACACATAAACATCATCAAATCTTGAATTGTTGTAGCATTCAGTGACCCACGACGATAGTGACAGATATCCCGAGCAGAGTTGAAGAGCCTCTCAACGCCTGCACCGGTAGCTGGAATAGAGAGAATATCGCGTGCAAGGCTTGCTAGCACCGGATATTGGCGCTCATTTTCTCTCCAGAAAGTAAGAGGATCAACCTCAACGGTCCCTGAATTGCATCAATACTAGTATTGCGTTGTTCAAAAAAGACAGAAGAAGAACCTACCATTTTTAAGGTACTGTGAAAGCTCATCATCATGCTGTGGGGTTGGTATCGATTGATGGTTCCTTGGCCGTGTAAGAAGGAATTGAAGCCTTGAGCGCTGAGTTACCGGTGACTGAGCGATAGGTGTTGATTGACTACCATAAAGCCGTTGTTGGTATGGTTTTAGTTGTTCCTTCAGGCTGTTATGGTATTCTGTCCGCCAATAATGATTCCTCTCCGCCCAAGTATCTTGCTCGAAAAAGCCAAGCTTGTATTGAGGCGCAAGAATAGTACCAATTGCATAGAGGTTATTGTGAGTCTCAGTGATCTTACTATAGTACTGCAAGAGCTTGTCCTTTGCCGCATAAAGTGCGTCGACCATCAATCGTTTCCAGGCAACCTGCTTTGGTTTAAGCTGGCTAATTGAGATTTCAAGATGGTTGAATAGCTGGCTATAGATCCCAAAGACGCTATGGATTGTAGCGTCTTTCGTCTGGGAAAGAGCAGTCGTAAACTCAAAGAAAGGTTTCGTAAGGTAAAGAAGGTAGTCGATTTGTCGCCACTCCTCTCGATCCAACATCAAGTGAGGATGCCCGTAATGTGAGCAGAACTCATCAAAGGTCGGTTGTAATCGTTTTGCGCGTCGAAGCATTAGAAACGTCGAGTTCCAGCGAGTGCGTACGTCTTGAATCGGAACCAGCTTCGGTTCTTCTGTCTGTAGATTCAAGAAAGCATCTCGGCGTTGTGGACTTCCATTGATGAAAACTGCTAAACCACGAATCTTTAAAATAAGTCAGTAGAGCGACAGCGAAGCGATGTGGAATATGATTTACCTTTTCCAGGGTATTGGCAATCTCTTTATTTCGTTGACTCGATCGAAGCGCTTGAGACCGACTCTCCGACCACTCTCTTTCTACTACTTGATTTTTCGGATTGGCTTTGATCCGACTAAGAAGCTTATTAAGGCTGAGCTGAATCACATGTGCGATACATGGAATGCGGATTATAGTAATCTGTTCATCAAGCTCGAGTGCCTGAATTGACTCCTGGATACTAGTGATCAAAGTGTTGTTGTTTGATGCATTATCGGTCGTCACGGCTAGTACCCGATCGACAATTTGATGTTGTTGGAAGATTTTCAAGAGAACCGCGCCTAAATTAGCACCCGAGTGGGCTCCTTGGAGTGGCTGGAAGCCAAGTAAAATCTCAAGATAGTTCCAGTCCTTATCAATGAAGTAGCCCGTGATAGCCATGAATGCTTGAGAGAAAGGGGATGTCCAACAATCCAATGCAATTGAAAGCTTTGCATTCGGCGGAAGACTTTGGAGTATGGTTTTATGCGACTCCTTGACAGTATCACGAATTCGGCGCTGTACCGTTTTGGCTGATGGAAATTTAAGAGGCAAGGGGGCGGATTGGGCGATGCGGAGTAGCAATTGTAGCTCAGGATGTTCGACAATCTGGAAAGGAAGCCGGAGAACAGTAAGAGTTTTCATGATTTGCTGCTCCCATCGTTCCTTTGAGAAGGAAATAGTATTGTCACGAGTATGAGACGCCTAAGACATATCGAACAATCATTAGCATCCGGAGAAAAAAAGTCTCAAAAGATAAAAATGCTTACCGAGTCTTTGATAAGCTGGCGAATATGAGGCTGCTTGCTTGCTTTCACACCAGATTTCTGGCATTTCGGCCCCTCCCAATGCCTTCGTAACGAGTGCGTTCCATTCGAGCTCCAGTTTGGATGCTCTAAGACCCTTCCGCATCTCTCGCACATAACCTTTGGTAGGCCAGACGTATAATGGGCTACCTGTTTGAAGCGAGTCCAAATATCCGATGTGTTGCCCGTTCCATCCCAATGGAGTTTTTTTACATTCTCGCTATCATCTGCGTTAACCTGTAGGCTACCCTGCTTGCTGCCTTGCTCTGTCTGGAGCCACCGGTGGAGAAAGTCGTCTTTACTCATTTCGGTATATAAGATGAAGGATTTGTGTCGGTCGGGGCCAACGCGTTCGAGGGCTATAGGAATAGGAGGGGGTTGAACCAATTCGATGTCAGTAATTGAGGTAAGGGTTTGCTGACTAGACGATGGGTCCAGCCTGAATGAATCATCCGGGATAGGGTAGGGAAAGCGTTCTGAGCTGTCTCCATCGTAGACCGACGAGGAATAGATATCAGAAGGTTGAGACCCCATAGTATACAAAATTGAGAAAGGTAGTATATAGAGAGAGTAAGAAGTTAGAGAGACTTACATTATTTCTTTGCTACAACTAAGAGAAAGAGGAAAGTCTTTGGTTTTAGAAACAACTATGTGAGGCTGATAGATCATAAAGTGGCTGCTGATCTATGGTTTCTAGTGATTTAATTGGCCGATATTTTTTGCAGCCCGCATATAGCCTATGGGCAATGCCCATGGGCCGCCCATTTCCCGCGAATTTTCGCTGACTTGTAGTCCCCCCGAGTTTTAGTCCGATAATTTTCACTTTGAACTATGAGTTCTGCCTCAAAAGCTTTCAAAAAACAAGAAGGTAGATAAATCCTATGGATACCAGTAATATTACTTTACTTTTGATAGGAAACACATCTAATATACTAGAAACAATAGTTGCAAATGTAAGATCAGAATACACAGGACAATGCAACATAGAGATATATATCTTCAGTGCATCTCCAGAGGAATCCGTGCCTTTTGTGGTTAATTGACCCCAACAGCTGATATTCAACTTCAAAAAAGCATCCGGCATGTAAACATGATCTAACAATCAAGAATACAGCGAGATTTACCAGTTTTTCATAGAAAGTATGCTTCATTTTAGACACCAAGTAATGTATGGAACATAACGTGTATAAACAAACAGCATTTAACTCGCTGAATCAGCGATTTATCCATCCTATTTGGGTAAGCTGTGCACTGATGGGCGGTTGATGGGCGGCCCATGGGCGCCCTGCGCTGCCCATGGGCGGGCCGACCCATTAACCTGCCCGCCCATGGGCTACGTGGGCGGCCCCATGGGCGCCCGACTCCCGCCCATGGGTGGGCCATGGCGAGGTCTACTGTGGACCCTAATGGTGCTGGCGTTTTTAGTCCGAGGCTCACCGCCCTGGAGTGCGGTACCCATCAAAAATAATCCCCAATTTTTGATCGACCACCACACCTTTATAGCTTGATCAATTACTCTATAATTTGAGGACCGTGATCTTCGGAGCATAACTTAGAACTATACAAATTTTCAGGTCGATCCTCGTACGAAATGTAATTCCAGTCTACTCATGGCCCCACCCTTTTCTCCCATAGTAAAGCGAAAGTCCTAATTCCAGTCTACTAGACTGCGCATGGAAAGACGATATCACTATTCTCGCCGCGATTGGCCATCAGCCATGTGGAACCCACCGACAACCTCCCGACACCTAAACTCGTTCTTGATCCTGCACGTAAACACTCACTTGGACTCGGCAGACTTCCTAGATTCCCTCGCTCTACTGATGATAATCGGCCTCGACAATTTCCGTCGACGATGACCACCGTGTACGCCCCGTCTGGCGCGTCCGCGCACTGTCTAAAAACATTGCCCAATCTGGACATGTCCCTCGAGTGACCGTCTTTCAATCACAATTACTTCCAGCCTAAATACGGACATGAAAATATATAAAGACGTCACTTAACGCTTTCACAGTGAATTAAGACTAAATGTTTCCTATCTGGCATGTTTGGGATGTTATCCGTCTCCACCACCCAGGAAATAATCATGATTGTTTTGCTAGCAAGGCGATCATGAATCTGTGCTTATACCTTTATGGGCATGGTATTCGGCTGGCATGTCTCCATACAAAAGCTAGAGAACTTTCTGGATGTACTGATGTGGTGGATTGAGACAAATCGGCCCGCATAACGTCGAACTGGACTCCAAGGAAAGCACGTGGGATGCCCAGGTCGTTCAGTCGAAACCCCGTCTCTAGCACTGATTTAACTGGTTCTATTTCGTTTCGGTTTTCTGCGGCAACGAGAAAGTCATCCACGTAGACAACGCAATCGAATTTATAGAAGACGCTATTCAGTGACCCCGAGTCATACAATTTTAGTCCATGATTTGTACGGGTCGAATGGAAAACGATCTGCCGAATCTATCAGCACGTGAACGGTGGGCTGATATGTATGCTTGAAAGAATTATACGGTAGAATTTCTACCAGAGAAGGGAGCCAGAGAAGGAGTACCGTTGGTGCGAGTCACGTGGTTCACGTCAGTTCCCTCGGCTCTTCCCACAAACATGTAATCATATCCCTACGAGCAGGAGCCTTTTTCTTCCCAATAACTTTTTTCTGTGGGTCTTTGTATTGCACGTTTTAATTTGCCCAAGTTGATACTCAATCAGGCGGTTTCATTGTCCATCGCCAATTAGGTCGCGCCCGTCGCCACTGTCCTTGCCTCCAGCTTGTACAACCCCCTTAATATAATACACATAGCTCTTTCCCTCTTTCCCACATCTCTGGAGGAATTTCCTTCCATTCATTGTCCACTATGAATTTACCTTCGCAGTCCAACTCGGCTGAGCAGACTATCCGCAAAGGCGACATCGCCAAGGTAAGAAGGAATGCATTTGCTTGCTGAAAAATAAGAGAAACCCAGCCGTGGAACGTCTAGAGTTTGCAGGTTGCATCCAACTTGTCAATCCTAACAACCCCCTCCAAAGCACCATCTGTACTAGATTGTTAATAAAGGATAATTCTCGACAGGTTTCTAGGAGCTTGCAAGTCCGACTGGGCCTGGCCAAACTCAAGTATCAGCATGGCCAGCTTCATGGCCTAGACTTTGTCCAGGATGAATGCGGCAAGCGGTCCGACTCATCCGATTTCTCTCGCAGCCGCTGCGAGACCCGCTTGACTTCACCCCCTTTCCAATCCTCGACCTATTACAAAGAACTACCCCTATCCGTCCCCAACCTGTCGGCCACCCACAAACGCTTCCGACCCGACTTTGACCCTCCCCTCCCAACCAAAGCAGCGGGGGTATCTTGGAAGAGAGCGTGCCAACTGCCAAAGTCTTCGCCAAGGCTTAATTGGCATATGGGAAAGCCACCGAAGCATACCCCCTTTATGTCCGAGGCCCCCTTTCCTGAGCGGGTTTCTTCCGCACATAGTGGGGCCTATGCTGAAGAAAGCAACCCTGATATCCTTCTTCATCGCTTTCGGAATATTAACTCTATGGCGAATTCTTCTCCGCCTCCACTTTCGAAGCAGGCTCGTCCGCCCCGGAAGCTTGCCTTGAATGAGGATAAGACAGGCCTGCCCCTGTACTTGAGCTCCCCTTCAACTCCGGTCTGTGTATTAGGAGGTTCTCAGGACCTGCCTTACACGCCTCCTTTCAAGCACGCTACTCTGGCAACCCTAAATTCCGTTCTGGGAAGCCCGGGCCAGCAATTCAACTTTGCTGATTACGTGAACGTAACGCCTGCTCCAGCTCAGCCTACATGGAGCAGCGCCATTGCTTCTATATAACGGGGTTACCGAATGACAAAAAATGTCAAACCTTGAGAGATCTCAGGTTTCTCGGCCCTCCGATGAACAACGGTTCGAGATATACAAACAAGAATGTCTCGTATGCCTCGGAAACAATGATAGTCCCGTCAGATCATGCACTTAATATTACGACAAGAGTGGATTGTGGACTGTTGTTGTCAACGTCGTTGTCCGATATGATCCTTTCCCCACCCAGTCAGTTGGAACCATATTATAATCTCTGATCTGTTTTCCAGATTAAAACAGTTATTTTATCGGCCGAAAACACGAATAGTTTGCGATCTATTGAAAGGCCACCGGCCTCACGTAGTCGGAAAGATCTTGGAGTATGCCACGAGCGGTGCCGGTTTGAATATCGCACAGCTGCGCTATTAGATCATTTCAGCGACTTGCCACCTAGGAAGATGGCCACATCCCAAACCCACCTGGACTGGATGGTCCTTCAATGTTTGACGTGGCACTGGCTTGAGATTGCGGGAGTTGGTGTGTGGAGGGTGCATCAGTACTGGCGGTCGCCGCCTCTTCGCTGTTGATTGGGTTAGACCCTCGTGACTGACCTGAGCACAAGTCTTTTTCTTGCTCGTACTCGCTCATTGTTGTTGGAACCCTTCAGTCAGGCAACATAGAAGGCATAGCGCACCAAAGATGTTTGGTTCTAGCGGACTAGAAACATCGTACTCCCACAGAAAATCCATAGAAGGACTGCCGGCGATGTCATCAATGACAACGTAATAGCAAATACACCAGGCAGAGCGCCAAGGAATATGTCGGAAGAGGGCTAGTACCTTCTAGTACACTGTATTTCTCACGCGCATGCTTCAAGTTCAGCTCATGCTCGACCGGCTTGGTTCCTTATCTGCACCAGCTTTGTATCACAACATGTGCGGTGGCTTCTTTTGTGAGATTGATGCGGGAGCGCGAAGCTTCGGATAAACCACCGTGTCGAGCATCCCATTCCACCAGCAAGAAGGCTTGCATATAATGCAAATCTTGATTTAGTTGGTGTTAAGGTTTTATCTAATAATGCAACATAAAGTAAACATCAATTACCATTTGTATTTACTGTTTCTCCAATTAATCGGGTCGTCGAACGCGGCCACCAGACACCGCCTGGTGGCCGCGTTCGACGACCCGATTATTCATATTCATATTATTCATATTCATATTATTCATATTCATATTATTCATATTCATATTATGCAATTCATATTATTCATATTCGCAAATATTCGCGAATATTCATGAATATTCATGAATGATCATATTCCTTTCGGAGCCCTAATGATCGATATTTCAATGGAACGCGTTGTGTATTTTACTGCTTACTGTCTCCTTGCCCCAGCGATAAATGTGCTGTGCCTGCAGTGCAAGTATTGCGAACAGGGGGATACCGGTGTTCTCTTGGCTAAGACCGACGCTTCCTCATTACGCCGTACCTTGCAGCGACGTTAGTCGCCATAGGAAACGACTCCAGCGTGGCTACCGTCACTACAACCACAGGGGGCTCAACAGGGGACAATCACAAAATTGTTGCAGGTGGAGTAGGTGTAGGCGTTTCTCTGGGGGTTCTTTCTGCCGTAATGATAGGTGCAGGTTTCTTGTGGAGGAGAAAAACAAGGGTAAATACGAGGGCTTGCCAGTGCAAAAACCTGTGACAGCTCCTGAGGGAAAGATGATGTTCGCTGCTCCCCAACTTCATGGCTCAAATCCTATTTATGAAGCCAACAATCCCCAGATAGAAGTTCCTTCTGAGCTGCCAGTGCCAGAGGGCAAGTAACGCCCCATACTAGTAGTATCTCAGACCGAAGAGGGACTCGGATGAGCTTGGGTATGTGAACTATTTACATAGGACACAAAGCTGCCCTTGATGCTTGTATTAAAACAGATGGCTACGGAGGATGTTGTATACAGCGGAATGTCGACAGGCGCGAACCAAGAAATATCCCGACAGCAAAGCCTCTCTCATTCGCGTCTCCTCGTTTTTCTAGACTGAGAGCTGGCCTTGCGGCGCAATTTGGTTGAATAATGGACTTGAAGGGACGACATATTTCGGCCTGGGAAGTGAGTCGTAATCTCAGGCCATGACATTGCCTCTTTTTCCTTCAGCCGCACCAGCAGCGCATTCTCGTCCGACGTGTACCGTCTTGGTTTCCCTGAAATAACCGCCGTGTTGGGTCGAGACAGCATCGGGCCAGGGTCGGGTACGAAAGTAAAGAAATATGCCGGTTTCAAACCAGTATTAGATTCGACGGTGAGGATAGCACTCCCACGTACACCCTGGATAGCACCAGAGCAATGAGATGAAATAGGAACGAAAGATTCCGAAGGGTCGGAAAGTGGCCTGATTGAAGATCTCCTTTTCTTCCTCTTTTGACACGGCTGTGCTGTGTTATAGGTGGTGTTCCCGTCTTGGTGGTTGCCGGTGCCTCGACCTGAGCGGAGTCGCTTCTTGCATACTGCCGTAGCGGCCCTTGTGCTTGTCCTGGTGGCTCCTTGTTTCCAGGACGTTGACGGGATAACCACAGCTATCGACGGGTAGCGCACCGGGGGTTTGGAACTCAGGGTCGTTCGAGCTTGAGAACATGTTGATGTCGAGTGCGCCGTCAGCGGAGAGAACGGGCTAGATGTGGCTGACGTGTCTTCAGCAGTGCTGGGATCTTCAGCCCGCTCCGAAGCCTTGTTTGCCCTTGAGCATGGATTTTCACCTAGGTTAGATGTCTGACACGGCTACGAATCATTTTCGTAGTCCCCGGGCCGCAGACTGTCTGAGGGCTCCGTGGTAGATAACTTCCGCTTGGCTGATTCTTCTTGGGAATCACCTACCACAGGTAGGTTACTAAAGGCACAGTTGGCTTGTTCGCGTTTAGACATGGGTGCGGTCACACAGGGTACGCACGAGGGTTGAGAAAACAGCATCTACAGGTTTAGTCATCAAAATTCCTTGGCGCCGGATTCGCACTATTATGTTATCTCCTTCGGGACGTCCCGTTCTTTCTTGTTCCAACCCGAGTACCTTCATTTATCGTTTTGAGTTCCAGTCCGTTTTATAGATACGCCATGGCTGCAAACCTCCAAATCAGTGTATATAATCCATTCCTCCTCCCAGAAATCGTGTCACTCGTCATCGACAATGTTCACATGGCTCCAGATCTCCTGAACTGTGCTTGTGTCAATAGCGTCTGGAGTGCAGAAGCTCTCAAGAAACTCTACTTGGGTTCCATCAATGATATGCAGCTCCGTACACCTGGCATTGGATCACTGAACAGCTTGTATGCAGCGTCGCGAACCCGCTTCGCCCGGAATATCAGCTTCGTCAAGCATCTTTTACTTGCGCCAGAAACACCGGCGATAGATGACGCTGCGGATCCTACTCGGCTTGCATCCTTTGAAAAGCCTCGCGCGCTGCGTCATCGGCAATCTACAGAACTCCTCTTGCGGCCACAGGGAAGGGGTTTTCAGAGTCTCACAATCCCTTACGAGATCATAGATCAAGATTGGACATCCATATCTGATTTTTTACTTCCCCCCACTGTGGAGTACTTGGCTATTGACAATATTTACTGCGCGAATTTGATGGCTCACTTCAGTGGATATCCAGCCCTACTTGATGTTGGTTTGCACGCCCTATCAGCTCTTTGGAAGATGACTTACCACCATAATAGAACAGACTTGCCAATGTCAAGGCTCTCACAATTTATAAATCTGATTTTGATCAAACGGTCAATGAGCTTTGTGTCCTCCTGAAATGCTGCAAATTACGTTTCTTCCAATTTGAAGAACCGAGGGAGCTTGAAAATCCCGTCCAATCAAATCTCGCGAAAGTTTTACCATACCTTCAGCATCAGAACAACCTCGAAACACTGGCACTTAGGACAACTTTCTGCGATCCAAGTCAAGCATCGATATCTCTCGCTCAAAACCCATGGCCAGATTTGAAAGCACTTCACCTTCGACAGGGGCATGAAAATTGGCTAGGATACTTGCCAAGATTTGAAAAACTTCGGATAATCTGTTTGCACCATATCTCTCCTGCTCACAATGTACGGGCAATCAGAATGATTTCGAAATGTCGTCACTTGCAGATTGTTGACGTGACCTTTGAGGGCTTAGCCGATGCTGAAGCACTACTCGAGATTGCGCGAGGTTGCCCGCTATTAAGAAAGTTTGAAGTGCATGATAAATTTGCCAGGATGGGAGGCCAAAAGCTCTCTGAGCCCCAGTTCCTAGGTCTCTTACGTGCATTACCCAATGTGGAATTGCTTACATTGGGGCTCAGGTATCGGATGAATGGTGCAAGGCTTCCTGATCTCGCGCATTACTGTCCGCGTCTCGTTTCTTTGAACTTGCCGGAGGCTCGATTGCTCCTTTCTCTTTTGCTGATGCATCAAGCCCGTCCACTATCCAGCTTGAAAATCATGTGCTTCAGAAGCGTCTGGTTCGATCAACCAAGGGTACTAATGCAGTCAGACCAAATGCATGATTTTGTCACCGAGTGGCGAAGAGTATTCCCAAAGCTCCAGACTCTCCCATGCACGGCAGATATCTATTGTATGGGATTGTATACTGGGGATGAGAATATGCTTGGAAGTTTGCCAGAGGATGACGACCTCCATGATGAATCGGACGAGTTGCCTGACGAATTGGATGACATGACGGACGAATCGGATGACATGACGGACGAATCGGATGACATGACGGACGAATCGGATGACATGACGGACGAATCGGATGACATTTCTACTCCTGACTTTCTAGCGGAGGACCCGCAGACAAACACATTAACTGCGGACTCTGATGCAGATGATCGCTGGTATGACCTTGACGAGTTTGGGACTGACTTCTTCATATTTCGCATCAAGCTTTGGCGAGCTCTTGGCTTCGGTGAAAGCAATCTGAATCATGAAGGGTTCGCACACATGTGGCAGACTGATATGGAGATTGAGATTGTTGGCTGGCCAGTGATGCCCTTGGAAGCATTTAGTGACCCAGAGCCTTACTCTACACATAGCTAGGCGAAGGAGAAAGGATCGGAGAAGCTGCATGTTCAGGGGGGCTTTGTGCTTTTGTTTTATAGTTCACCCCCTACAGAGTACCAGGGCAAGAAGTCATTGTGTACCCAAAGGTATTGCGGCCTCCCAGCCACCTTTCTCCTGCTTGATAACACGGCTTCCTAGTTAAACTTCCTTTCACATGGCTGGGCAAAACAAAAGGCCCAATGGGATCCTCCTGAACCCACCAACAATCTTACAATCTCTTGACTATTTCACAAATCTCAAAAGGAGGAGAGCCTGGCAAGCTACGACGGACGAAAATAGAGCGGGTGGGGATGTAAAGGAGGATAGAAACAAGAAGTGGAAGATGGCGTTCACGGCGCGGGTGAAGTAGATTGTACCTGGTCTCTTCCTCGAAGTCCTAACCGTATGAATAATCTGGTGGAACTTGACTATTTAGGTGAGGTTCGCAATAATTCAGGATACAGAATTATGTAACCCCAGCTATGAGGCTAAAAACAAGTTGAGGGTTGATCTGGGAATGAAGAGCTTTGAGATGCGCAGGACGTGATCTAGAGAGTAAAACTGAATAGCAAGAGCCGTTGAAGAATGACAGATATGTTCCCAGAGTCACCTAAATCGGTCTTAAGAATCCGTGACAGACCCTGGAAACACGTGGACGCAAAACCAGGCTTCTTGTTACCTTGTTATCAGGTCGTTCGTCGCTTGGTTTTACTCATCGTGTCGCGCATTTCGCAACCGCAGTCTCAGCATTAGTCACCAGGTGAAGCACTGGGAGTGCGGCATTTTCGCTATTGGCTTATGGCACTCCGTTATGCTTTTGAACTTCGATTGATTGGGTGTGGAGAAGCCGGAAAGGCTACCAGTGACGACAACGGATCGCCACGGGATTCAAATATAACGCTGGAGCGGCGCGATGTAACCTTAGATGGCCTGATCTAAGTAATGCATCCAGAATCTAGAATTAAGCGGCACTTTGTATGGAGGCAAAGGCCTCAGCGACAAACAGGGAGCACAAAGGAGGATCTAGACAGCTCTGCAGCATGGTGCACTCGCTTAAAAGAAAAGTAAGAAAATCAGGAACAAATGGCCATTATGCCACTGTAGCCTAAATCATCCCAGAGGTTCTGTTCTAGACAAGGTATTGCAAGCTTGGCGTCGGATGAGCGGCATCTCTGGTAAAATGAAAGGGGGCAGTGTGTCAGGTCGTAAGCCAAGGCGCAGTTGTGGGTGAGGGGCGAGATGAAGACAAAGGGGGTGGCGATGAGTGCAAGATAGAAGAGTGGAAGGAATGGTGAGAGAGGGGAAAGAGGTCGAAAGGGCAGGGCGAGCTTTTTATGCCATCGCAACAGAAGGCGGAGCTTACAGAACGAGGTATTATGACGCTAAACTAAAAGAGGCAAAACTAACCGCATGCAGTAATTCACAGGTCCGTCGTTTTACTTCGTCACTCAAATAGAAAGTCGCGCTACTAAGATCAAGTGGCTAATCAATAAAAGATAGTGGCGGGCCATTGAGCATCGTAACTTCGTACTAAGTAATAATACTAGTACGGGCAGTTGGTATGCGTATCCCATAGCGGTCTCTGGTAGTTGGTGGACAGACAAAATCGGCTTGAAAACCACCTTATTCTATAAACACGATAATAATAAACACCGCCCTACTAGCATGTACCCAGGCCGGTCGATTCCACCGACAGACGCAAACCGTCGCGCTTAATCCTGAATCACTACATCCCACCACCTTCTCAAGACACACTTCCATCGCACGTACTTCGCTGATGCTGCGACAAGGGTGTGTTTGCACTTGGCTCTTCGGGTACATACTTTGGGAGCTTTTTCCGATGTGATGGCTTGATCATTGAACTGCACTAGTTTCGCTTCACTGGAAGCCTCTCAAGGGCAGCTTCCGCCGGAATAAGCCAGCAAAACTTCTCGATATCGTTGTTTTAAGGCTTCAATCCATCATTTGAGCATATGCTCAGAATTCAGGGGCCCCGTAAAGTGGCGATCATACCATCGAGGCGCCCAACCATTTGCCCCGTTTCTCTGTGAGACGAAGCTGCGGCTACAGAATCCCGAAGCCTATTCGCTATTGCGACATAATCTGCCTTCCGTTGTATATGAAAGTCTTCGCTGGAAGCTCGAAGAGCCTCTCCAGGAGATACGGAACGAAGGCCTGGACGGTTCGGTTCGTATGACTCCGAGGGTCGTTTGCCACGCGAACAAACCCAGCAACACAAGTCAGCGCAGATGTTTCGTAGTAAAGACGGTGCACAATCAATCAACGGCTTTTCCTTCGAATCTGTGTCCCCAGGAGGTTGCTCTTTGATTGATTCAGCCAGATTAAGTGCTTCGAGAACAACCTCCAGACATTTGGCAGCGATTATTTCCGCATGAAATGCATTTCCATCTTTCAGGCCAAACTGTACAACACAGTCATCAATCTGTAAATAACACTTGATCTCGAGTGCCCGTAGAATTGCCCGTTGAAGGCGAATCACTCTGCTGGCTGGGATGGGAGTCGGTCCCCGACGAGTACGGGTCTCTGCAATGAATTCATCCCCTGCATCAATCGATACTCGCAGCTCAGAGGGCAGACTGTAGTTGCGCCAGCGAAAAAGCTGTTCATGGAGCATGGTGATGTCCTCGTAAGCAATACCAGTGGTTTTCACCGTGGTGTTACACAGTTTCCTGGCGATTTGTCGCGCAATAATTGACAAGCTGAGAACGGCATCAAGATAGCTTTGAACTCCATATCTTAGAGGATTCTGGTCTAGCGCCAACGCGTTGTCTGGAATAAGAGATATGGCCTTGTGATTGAGAGATTGAAAAGCATCTAGACAATAGACCTCCCAATAGAGAAGCGTGAAGCGCTCATCAGCCTGTGTAAATAGTGCCGAAGGATCTGTCCCCCTGGGTCCGCGATTTCGAGACTGCAAAGTTTTCAAGACGAGGGCGTCGTGCGTCATGAATAGTTTCCAAAGGGGGTCCGCGGTTTTGCGTGCATTGTCATATTCAGAATCGACCATAAGAGCCATAGCCTCAAGTTCGTCCAGGCGGATCGGACGATTATGAGGTGTGGCGGTCATAGTCTTCATTAGTTCTTTTCTAAACATGCCGGCGAGGAGCCGCTGCTTGTTCCACTTATTTTTCACTTTTGTAAAAGGGATACCACAGCAGGCAATGGCTGTGAGAAGAGAATAGCCACATCGGTCTGCATGGAAGTCTTGCCAAAATGCATCCTCTGGAATGAAGGGACGGCAAAGGGCCGGAAAATCAAAATACGCATGGAGCGCCTCATTGAATTCCCTCATGTCGAGGTTGCATGCCTTCAAGAGATTTTCATGAAAAGATGGATTGCCGCAGCTCAACCCCTCTAAGGCAGAGTGATAAAGATGGCGGCCCGCTGAGCGAAAAGCATCGGACCTGATAAACAACTCGGGAAGCCCTATGGTAGATGTCGATCTTTCCGGAGCCGGTGAATGGGAGCGGGGTTCTGAGCGAGACGCAGCGAGTAGCTCCCTGTCCGGAGATCGTAGTGGAGGGTCCCCGAGGAAGATATTCTGGAGGAGAAATGATCCTTCCATGCTTAGTCCAAATGATTTGGCTGAGAATGGAGTTCTTAGCCCGTCATCCAGTGGAGAGCTGGCAGCAGTGTCTCTTGGCGACGAAGGTGGAGAAGAAAAACGGCCCTCCATGACAGTGTCAGGGTCTGCGCGAAGCGCCACGGTGGTCGAAACGCCATTGAATTGGGGCCAAAGCAGCGTGCTTGACGGAGTCGTTTCGTCAGAAATGAGGCTCTCGCCTGGCGAAGTGTCCGGGGTCGTGTGCTCTAAGCGTTGGCGCTTGTACGTGCCGGTGTCATTCGGACTTTCAACGGAACATTGGATTTCTAACCTAGCACACCTTGAGCATGGTTCTTTTCTCTCTCCGAGGCCAGATGAAAGGTTGCATTTCCTCTTCTTTTGACGACAAACGTTGCAGGCCATACGTTTACCACCACGAGGCATCGGTGGCATGATGATGGTGAATAAGATTTCGTCGCTCTCGACAGAGATTTGGGAGAAGGGTAGATGAATAAAGAGCTCGAAGAACGAGAGGCAGGAGAAAACTCTTATAAGGATGAGACAAATGCCAAACGGCCTTTCTTTACTGCCTCCGCATCCTCCGACCGCCCTCCGCATCCTCCGTCCGCCCTCCGCATCCTCCGTCCGCCCTCCGCACCTCGTATCCTCCGCACACACGTATCAGCATAAGATTGAAGGCAGCATCGCCGCCAGAGGATGGTCTGTGGCACTAGTGGGTTGGTTCGGGGCTCCTCGTCCGGACGGTGCCTCGATGCATGGAGTCCCTCACCACTTACCCTTGAGGGCCCAGTAGGACACGTCTCTTTCCCGATGTCGATGTAGAATTGATCGGAGAGATAGGACTCGTCGATGGTGGTACCCCAATGCTGGGCAAATTCCTGCGTCATGCCGTCCCACATGTGGGCTTTGGTCAATGTCTTCAGGTTTTTGCCTTGGACGAGGATCGTCACGCCCGAGAATTGCTGCAGTCCAGCGCTCTCGATGGTCTCGAGAATACTGGCCCACACCAGCGCAAGTGCGTGTGGCGGGAGGAAATTGAATAGAAGCTGCTGCCGCGCGACCGCACCCACTCGCTGCGAGCGCATCTCCACCCCCGGGCCGTAGCATTCAGCCGGTTATGATCAAAGCTAGCTGGATAATGCTGGACAAGCGAACCGTCATGGTGCCGATAGATTGCAGGGAGGAGTATCTAGTCCATCCAAATCCGAAAGTCATCATCTCGGAGGCGGCTGCATTGCTGCTCCTCCCGGTATAGCTGCGGGAATAGAAAGTAAAGGGAAATATCCTCAAATCCGACCAGCCGCCCAAATGTATAATGTGGGATCTTATGCACCGGCAGTCGGTTGTGGTGAGCGCGGCCATTGTTTCCAATATATTGTATCGGAAGAGGATCAAGATGCAGACACGAACGAAGATCAGAAACGGCCATCTCAGTCGAGTTCCACCGCAATCCCAGTTTAGCCACAGCTAGGCTGTGCGCAAATCCCACGATACTATCGACATGAAAAAGTTATCGCGGTCGGGCGTTCCGGCTCATGGTCGGCAGCAAGGCAGAGGTGCAGTGGACTAGGATCAGGCGTGGCTGAATTAATTCCAGTATACATCTCCCGTTTTCGGTCTGCGCTAGTCTGCCCTACTAGGTTGTCCTCGCGTCTAGCCATCGTCGCCACGCCAAGAACATCTGGGTATCCCCCATCTGCTTGAATCCGGTCCATATATTTCCCTCTTAGCCCCAACCCTGGACTATGGGAACTACCGTCACCTGATATCCTTCCGGTGAACAACGAGATGTTCCTAGAGCCCGTTAGTGATATAGCCCATGATCCTACTCCGGCGATGTCACCAGACAATATACTAGAAGGGACCGGGGTATAGCTCTTCCATCTTGTCGAGCTCCGCGTGGATCTGGGACGCCTGCTGAATGGCGGGTTCAACTGGTGTGTTCTGGTCCGTACTGCGGCCCTGCACGTGGATGCAATGCCGGCCAGTGCCTTGGTTTAACGCCTGCTAGTATGTGACCGTACGGCTGAACTGCTGTACCTGTTGCTGTGCTGTATCACGGGCTACGGCCCGGGACGACCTTTGCTACTAGCTGGTGTCCAACCGTGCGCTTTGCGCCAATGCTGCTTAATCACATCTATGCTGCGAACCACATATCCACACTCTGGTTCTCGTGTGCATAAAATGCCATCTGTGTGCACTGTTAACCCGGGAATGTGTTGGTTTATCGTGGTGGGCACTTCCCAGCGTTCGCACTCCTAGACTCTGTTCCACTGTTGGATGGCATGCTGTAATTGCGTACCGGTGGGATTTTTTCAAAATTAAACTGGACGACAGCTGGGACTTCTAATTACCCCTAAATCTCATCTTAGTCCCGTAATCGCTCAATTAGATCTTAGACTGATCACTTTGTTAACCCCAATGTTGATGTCGCGGGTGGTTGACCTCGGTCGCATATCCACATCTTGGCCCTCACCAAAAGAAACCCGGTTTTCAATCGAAAACCCCACCTCCAATGTTCGTCTTTAGTGGGAGCTCATCGATGGACGGGGTGAAGGGCATCTCATGTGGAAAGTCTCGGTTGTTGCTCTTCGGGCAATTCAACCATTTGAAGAAATTGTTCGCGCTGCTCCTCAAAAAGAACAATATCTCCTGCACCAGTCGCCGGCTTGCGCAAAGCGAGGATTTACGAAGTACCGAAGTTCCTGATTCTTGATTTTTTATTTACTTCTAGCTGCTCATTAAATATAATTATCGCTAATGATAAAGTAAGATTCATACGTATACGCAGAGATGAATCATACTCGTTGCCTTTTTGAGTGGATCCCTAATGTAGCTCAGGAGACACGCTATAAATCTCGTAGGTCTTGACTGAGGATGGTGGCATGTGCAATCTCTGTGTGGCGATACGACGATGCAGCGGAGCTACTTGGCATTGTTTTGAGAAGTGATCCCGGATACTTTATAAGCCGTCCACCCTCCTTTTCCATTTCGCTGATCACTTTTCATTTGCCGTCTGTTGATTTGGCCGCCATGCATATCAGCCTTGACAACATTAGCTTCTACTCTCGCCCTCCTACAAAGTCCTCCTCGCCTGCGTTCCCTGCTTCCTGTTGGAGGGCCTATAATGCCTCTGTCACTCCTCAAACCCTTCCCCGTGCCCTCCCGCCGAGACCGTATCTTCAGGGAACGACCTTCAGCTCAGCATCTGGTGCCAGCACTGATGTCTCTCTGCAATCCCGAGATGCCGTGAAGGAAAATTTGGATTCACGTGCAGGCAGTGAATTTGATATCGAAATAGAGAGAGCTATGACGCAAAACAGCCAGGAAACGCACGAGACAGACTTGGATCTGCACCTCGACCCAGGGCTCCGAAACGAATGTCACACAGACGTGCCTGAAAGCGATCACACATACGTAATAACTGGTATGTCGGAATCATTGCTGAACCGCGATAAGCGAGCGTAGCTAATATCATCCACCAGATCATCCAGATATATGCCCTTTGGGAGAGTCTCGTGGTGACTTATATACGGCTTTGATCCTGGCACAACCTCAGTTGCATCATGCAGGTAGGCGCGACTATTATCTTTCTGTCCGACTTATCTCGCTAACTCATACAAGACCCACCCATTGCCTCAACCGTTGCCCCAACTTGCCCCAACCGACCTGCTAAGATGGCGCCGAGATAATATCTCGTCGCTAGGAATTTATGATGAGATTGACAAGAGCCCTGCTCCGCCCGAAGTCAGCTTGACCTGCCCGCGTGTCTTGCCATCACCTCCGACAGATGTACCAGCACGGCCTAGCATTGAAACCATTATCCAAGATGAATCCGTCGTAGATGACACCACGTCCGGGTTAGAACACCTTGGAGATCAAACGGGTGTTATAAGGGATGGGGTGGCAACACAAATTGTCCAGGTCAATGAACCCTCAAACAGCGAGGCTATCTCGGATAATGATGTAAGAGGCAGACTCACCGAGAGTCAAGCGCGTGTCTTCTCCCGTCTTGGGCCTCAAACTCGCTCTGTCAACCCATCGCAAGCCACACTGGCAAACTCTCCATCCTTTCGTCCACGACGAAAGGCAAAATCCGCCCGGCGAGAGCAATTTCCTGCAGTTTCCGTTGTCATCCCTGTCCGTTGAAACGATAAGTGGTTGCAAGGGCCAAGAAGAACTCTCTAACTAGAATACGACGGTGTAGTCGCGTGAGCGACAGCGACAACGACAGTGACAGCCTCGACAAAGATCGAGTAACCCGGACGTCGATGAGAAATTATTCACCGTCGTCAGGTGGACCTGGTCCCAAGGCAAGGGGGCGCCCACTAAAAACGTCGATGAGGGCGAAGGGAAACGTCTTAGCCCCGAGCAATGATATCGTCGGAAAATGCCCTAATCAGTCCCAAACCCCCTTAGGGGGTGATTTGGCTGTCCCATTAGATCAAACACAAGAGATTTTCGGTCGCGGAGTTCTCCGTATCGAAACTCACGGTCCTCGACAAGCCTACTTTATGACATTCCTTCCAGAGGTTTCTCACCCCCCCCCTATGCCGTCACCATCTGAAATGCCTCCTGAACAGTCTTCACAGCAGTCTTCACGCTTTCAGGATTATTCTCAGAACGCATCCTCGCGACAGGTGGGGCGCGGAAAAAGCCATAAGCGAAATATATCTACAGCCTGTGAGGATGGAGACGGGCGGTCGACCAAGCTGCCACGACACTCGCCATCTCGTGATGGTCGCAACGAACCCCAGCGAAAGCGCAGGAGGCGCTTGCGGTGGTCTTCAGAAGAGGTGGATTTTTTGCTGGAGTTAAGAAGAGACGAAAAACGACCATGGTCGGAGGTGACGAGCTTATTTTTGGACCGATATCCGGGAAGAAGTCCTGCTGCAATCCAAGTATACTGGAGTACGTGTGGGCGTCGAGAAAGCAAGACTAAGAGCGCGCCAACTACCGTCTAAAACAAAGCATATGCTTCAACCGTCTCCAGTACATACCGCTAGAAACTACATTCTTGGGGAATACCTCCAATGTGGGACATATCCATATGGAAGTCACGGATCGGTAAAATCTCCCCTTCAGCGTAATACCTTATCGACAAGTCGTCGTCCATGTCGAAAGTCTGGCGGCGGCATACAAGACACGATTCGGGAACTAATCCTTCCTATGACCAACTAGAGGGATTATAAGGGCAGAAGTGAAGCTCATTTTCATTGCGTACTGTAGATGACAATTTTGAGGTAGCTGGGCTTAACTTTTCACAAGACTTGCTCGAAGACTGGCCCATTCCTTCTGTCGTATCGATATTGGGACTGATATGATTGGCCTCATGGCGAGGGCCCTATAATATTAATATGACACCCCTCTCCCAGTACCCTTTGTCTTCGGGCTTTGATTCTCGTTTCTTGATATGGATAGAAAAAAAAAGAACACTCTGGAGGGAGAAGCATCTGCGCTCAAAGGCCTAGTACCACAATGAAGTAGAATACCCTCAAACAGCCAGGACAGGAACCGTAGTCGGTCTTCGTCAGAAAGAGCCGAATACTGAAAATGGCCTGTTGGGAAATAAATGATCTAGCGATGACCAGGCCCTTTGTCTGACTAACAGGAGCTATGTTTCGTACAGTATGCCTTTTCCTACGGTCAAGCAGCTTTCATTCTTTCGTTCAAAATTTGTGGGTACATATATCAATTGATTGAAGGCTCTGAATGCCTTGTTTCTAAAGCTACAACTGACATTTAGCTGCCCGATACGCTTGGTTAATCGGTGTTGTAGTGCTGATATTAAGCGACTCCAATTGCTCATGCACTCTTCCTACTAACGTTTGGTTATTTGAAGCGTTATCTGTTGTCACAGCCAACACTCGTTCAACCAATTGATATCGCTGAAGAACCTCAAAAAGAACGGTACCAAGATTAACGCCAGTGTGGGATCCATGAAGTGGTTCAAACCCGAGGAGAAGCTCACGGTATTTCCATTTATCATCAATAAAGTAGCCAGTGATAGCCATAAATGCTTGTTGAAAAGGAGAGGTCCAGCAGTCTAGTGCAATAGACATTTTGGCCTCGGCGGGTAGCTTCTTGAGTACACATTGGTGTCTTTCCTGAACTGTATCTCGAAGCCGGCACTGTATTGTTTTTGCCGAAGGGAACTCAAGAGGCAAAGGGGACGACTGGGCTCGCTGAAGTAACCTCTGGAATAATGGGTTTTCGATGATCAGGAAAGGGAGTCGTAGACCAGTAATAGCTGTGAGGATATCTTGCTGCCATAGTTCTTTTGTAAAAGACTCGCGTTTCTCGTGGGCTGGATAATCGCGCACCTGTTCATAAACGATAGACATTAATATCGAGGCAATCTACCTTTTTCCTTCCAGTGTATTCCTTACCTGGCGGGCAAAAAGTTCTTGAAGAGAGCTATTTCCGGCAACCCGATTGCTAAGTCTCTGGCACTTCTCTCCTCTGAGATGCCTCGCCATTGGGGTAGTTCCATTCAACTTGCGGCTTGGATGATCAAGAAGCTGACCGCATTTTTGGCATACTATCTTTGGGTCCCCAGTCACAGTATGAGCTACCTGCTTAAAGCTATTCCATGCCTCTGAATGACTTCGGGATCGATCCCAGAAGCTCTTATTCCTTTCACGAAGCTCATTTCCGTGGATAGTTTGAAGCCACCAGAAAATAAAATTCTCTTTGCTCATTTCGGAGTAAACAATCCAGTCGTTTCCGAATCACTCAAGGGAGGAGGAGATCATAGGATGTAATAGTTCGGAGGCTGGTGTTGATTCAATGGTTTGCTGACTGGACTCTAGGTCAGACGGAAAGAGGTCTAGACCGTAGCTACCGTGGAAAGACGACGAGGCGAGGTCGGTGTCTTGAGACATGATCCAAGAGTATGGGGTTTTTATGGGGGAAAAGAAAAAAAAGACTCCCTGAATCTCATAGATTTGGGTGATTTTGCCGGTTATGACCGTCTGTCTACCTAAAGAAATAAAATCTGATACATCGCGCATGAACGCTATGGCCTCCAACTTCTATGAATTGCGATTGGATATGGTGGTGGGAGACATGCATATTTAGCGTGGGCGGACTTTGGACTGTCCAGAGTCCGCCCAAATACCCGGAAAATTTGCTTGAAGGACATGCCCCTTCTCCATTATTATTTTATAAAGGACAGTTTGGGCATCTCATTAAGTCACGTGGTACTGCTATCTCATGCTTTCTAGTCTTTACTCTCCACAAATGATATTTTCAACCTCTTATTGATAGTAATGGTATATATAACTAATTTGATTAATGAATTAGATGTGTAGGCTGTTTTTCTTGGGTATTTGACTAGAACCTGCAATCACCCAATAATGGTAGGAACTAGGAATGAATTAAATATGAGGTGCACCCACGAGATATATATTTCTCTCACTAAAATAGCTTCAAGTCACAGAAGACTGTATACACACCAAATAGTCGCAAATAAGAGAGAAGATCATTGTTCCGTATAAAGTGAACCAAAATACTTGAGAATTTCAACAAATCTAAATGACCGAAGAACAACTGCTACGGCAAAAGGATTGTAGTGACTATGACTAGTTTAAATAACCGTTTTTTATTCTGCTGAATCATCAGGTTATGCGGCAGATTTATGCATTTTTGGGCGGTTTTGGACACTTTTGGACACTTTGGGTAGTCCATGGGCGGACTTGGACGCCATGAGGATGTCCATGGACGGGTTTTGGCGAGGTCTAGTCCAGACGAAGAACCTCCGGACGAGGAAACAAAAGCACGATTCGCAACCGCCATCGGTTCATTGATGTATCTGATGGTCGGAACGCGGCCGGATATTGCGTTTGCGCTGGGCACGTTGAGTCGCTTCACGTCTCGGCCACAATCGCACCACCAGGTCGCCCTGCAGCGATTGCTTCGCTATGTCAAAGCCACGCAATGCCATCGCATTACATACCGCAGTGGTCAGTTGATCGGATACACAGATGCCGACTTCGGTGGCTCCGTCGTCACTGATGGGGCATACTCCACGTCTGGCTATGTGTTCCAACTTGCAGGCGCACCAGTCTCCTGGTCGTCCAAGAGACAGGGGGAAGTGGCCACGTCTACGACTCATGCCGAGTACATTGGGCAATACAATACCCTTCTACACCTGCAGTGGCTCCGCACCTTCCTAGCAGAAACGCAAATGTATCGGTCCCCGGTCACCAACATCATGGCTGACAACCAGTCCGCTATTGCCCTTTCGCGCAATCCCGAGTTCCACAAACGGACCAAACATTTCAACGTGAAATTCCATTATCAGCGAGCAGTGCTGAATGCTGGCGAGATTGGTCTTCAATATGTTCCTACTGAGGAACAGGCCGCTGACGGTCTCACCAAGCCGTTGGGACCTACGGCTTTTGCCAAGTTCTGTAGTCTTCTAGGAATCGAAGCCTTGGAGCCTCGGAGGCAACAAACGTGACAGCGCAGGCGCTTTTTTCACTTTATTTTCCCACGAAGGTTTTCGAGTGGTTTTACCGAGGCTTGCCTGCACAGCGTTAATCCAGTAACGCCTTGCCAGCAAAGCGATCCTGAGGGGGAATGTTGTGATATCAGGCTGGTGCAGATCAGGAACCAAGCCGCACCGTCGGAATTAGCTCCGAAGTGTCTATACAGACGACCAAGTTGATTTCCAATCAACTTGGCTAATTGTTGTATATATAGGCTCATGTATCCCTCTGAAAGAACAAGTCAATTCATACCTCTGAACAACAACACGAACTGTTCCTACCCAGCTGCTCTTGTTTCGATGTGGAATAGACAGAGAAATTATTCTCCTGCAGCATATACTTCAGGTCTTCTACTGATTGAAGATAATCGAGATCTCGGAATCAAGTTGTACTTTCTTTTCCTCACTCAGTTCTTTTAGCTTGGCCATATCCATGACTCGGCGCACAAAATGAATATGTCGATCGGTGGTCATTTGCCCGATGTTTCTTCGGCACTTATAAGAAGACAGACCTGCGCAGACGCCGTCATGGAAACTTTCGACGATAGAATTCCAGGTAATAAGTTTAGCTCGTATGCTGGCGGTGTTGTCTGCTTCGTAAAACTCGGTCCAAACTAGGCCAATTTGTTTCCACAAGGCAGAAAAAGCCTTTACACTACGTGGAGAATCAATTAGCCTTTGGGAGCGAAATCAGTAGCACTTCTCAACTTACACCCGAACCGTTTTTAAACTGTTTCCCAGCATCCTATCTCTCCACCTCAGCTGTCAAAGCACTATTTCATTGTCCTGTATCCTTTGATCTGCGTTTTCTCTTTCGCGCTGTTCTGTTTGTGCTGCACTCGTTGAGGCCATGTTCGCCCATAATTCGTTACGACAAGCGGTCTCTTTCAGTGCGGATACGGCTTCTTCCAACTATTTAGTAAGTGAACCCAATCCCAAAGATCTCCGAAAGGACTTACCCATGATTGACTTCCTATGTGGCGTGCTGCCTGTTACTCCCAATGATACGGCCAGCTCCACTCGAAACCGATCCATTTCTGGAATAGCATAGTTTCGCTCTAAAGACTCAACCCTAAGTTTTAGTCTTTGGTTTTCTTGTTCCTTTTCATCCATCTCTTTCGATAAAGCCAAGATCGCACGTCGATAATCGTTGAGTACATCTTTAATGCCTTGGATAATTTGATCTGGACCGGCAAACTTCGGCAGGTCGACAAGCCCACGGGGGATTTTAAAGATGTCTTGGTTCCGCATGCTAGTCTTTGGCCAGAATTCTGGACCCGACATATTGTAAGACCTTATCACCCTTGCACCGTCAGGCTTACCTTTTATTATCAACGTTTTGGCCAGTACGTGGCCGCGCGAAGTTCTCAGCACCCCCCTTGCATTGCACCGGAAAGGAGAACCCGTAGGGCATGCATCACTGCATCGCTGTTACCGGATCTCCTACCATCCTTGCGGATATACCTACCACGGCAAAAGGTACACCCCGTGCTTAATGTAGAATATGGTAGCGGGGTTTCATGAGTATCCGTGCACTTTTGATTCGTCCCCGCATAACTAAGCGTGATTAGAACGAACGCAGCACCTCTCAGTCTGTCAATTTGTAACTGGTTCGGAGCTCCCCACACCACCAGGGGACCAATAGATGTGCAGAGAAGTCGGAGGGAGCCCTCGCTCCTTTAAGGCATTATGTATCAGAATTAGGATAAGCATACATGACGTCAATGTAATGAAAAAAATAATGGGATACTTACATGGCGATACAAAAAGCAGATCTTTAGCGACTGTTGGTTTTCAACAACGTATGTGGCCACGATTAAGCTAAAAGTAAATGTGCGAACGGGGTGAGTGAGTAATGGGCGCGAGGCATCGACCAATCAGACAACGGAAATTCTCCCCTAGGCGTTTACAGAGGTTCTAGGCGTAGCTTCAAGTTCGTAGTTCTATTAGACGGTTTTTTGCCAGTCGTCAATACTCTGTTTATTCTACAAGCCTCAGCAAAGCTCTGGGCAGGAGAGGCACTAGTTGTAGCAAAATCCCAATTTCTGGGAGCCCCACTTTATCTACTTTTGTTAAACTCCAAGCTATTTCATTGTGGGTACATCTAATACGTTGTGTGGCCGAAAACGGAAATCCGGAAGGCATCTTAGAGTTTATATGACACCATATCACTCTACTTGATGGGGTCTAGAACTCGATTAGCCATGCTTGACGACAGAGTAAGTAAGTGGTATAAAGGAGCTTTTAATTGCGCTTGGTAATCCATGCCTCATACCCTCTGCTATTCCCCAATCCTCACAATTAATAGATGGGTCTCTATCCCAGCAAATAAACAGAAGTTAAATAAGGATTTGCTAGATCCTCCAACACGAAATGGCTAAAGAAGTTGAATTTTCATTTATGGGAGGCGAGGTCCTCGCTCCAGGAAGCGAAATTAAAATCCATACCCCTCGACCAGTTAGTTGATCCTCAGGGTGCACGGAGTGCTGTCATTGTTACCAAAGACGGCCGGAATATTTTTGCCCCTGTCATTGTTGACGCACCACGATCAAAATTTGTACTGGTGACATTGGCCAAGGGAACTTTTACGTGCAAGTTGATGAGTTACTGGATAATAAGGGGGAGGAGATTTTGCATTAAAGGCTACCAGTTGGCTTCCATCCTTTATTGAACAATGTGCCAGATTTTTCGCGTGTTGTGTATGCCTCCTATATTGCAGACAGCAAGGAGGCAACCCAGAAACTCTTGCCCGGCGTCACCGCTCCATCTGGCTTCCAGTATGTTGCATTCGTCCAGGCACTTAACGATCAGGATGACAGCCCTGTGTCCTTGGCCTTTAATGAGAAGGGCGAACAGATCGACGGCAAGTCTATTTTGGAGAGATTCCATCAGGGCCAATTTGCGAAGTTTGGACGTCTTCATGAAATCCTCCGCCGTAAAATTACAAATATCCGCGCAAGTCAGGACATTAACGTTGCTGTTTGGCCTGAGTTTGAACTTGACCTCACTGGATACGACAAACCGAATGAAGGGGAGATCAGAGAGCCTCCAGCAGCTGCACGCGCGCTCATTGCCGACGCTGTGAACGTTAGATCTGCCATAGTCAAGGCTATGAAGGATCTCGGCGTCATGGTGAAAGAGACCCCGCCAGAACAATTGTTCATATATGTCTCACCCAATGTTTCTCAGCTCCCTAATATTGAGCAGATTCATGGTGTTGGTCAGATAGTCTTTGACGACCGCACCGGGGTTAACGACCTTGCCGACTCGGAAGCAATAGGACGCGCAGCTCAAGCGCAAGCCCTCGGATATACCGGACAGGGAGTCCGTGTTGGTGTCTTTGAAGCCGGACCATCCGATCTCACATGCCTTACATTTGACGGCAGATATACAGAGAACCCTGAAGGGAATGACCACGCACGACTGACTAGCGCCGTTATCAAGAACGCTGAGCCAGGGAAGCCGCATGGCTACGCCCGTTACTGCTCCCTTTATTCCGCAAACAGCTATGATAATGATGCATTGCAATGGGCCGTTACTTCACCACAAAACTGCACCGTCATTAACCAAAGTTTCCACCGGCCCAATGAGCAAAGCAGCGCAAATCTATCCTTTGATGACATTCTAAAAGACCACCTCGCCACACAATGGCCTTTCCCTACAATCGTGCAATCTGCAGGGAATGTCAGCCAGGCGTCCCAGTATGTCAGTCCGAAGGGGTTCAACACCATCAGCGACGGAAGCCACAACGATACCGCGACTGCGATGGCTGGCAGCTCAGCGTTCAAAAACCCAGTCTCTCCCGACCGGGACCGCGAGCTTCCTGAGTTGGCTCCCAATGGTACCAGCATTACTGCTGTGGGATTGACCATGTCGGGCACTAGCTTCGCAGCCTCGGCTGTGGCTGGTACAGCCGCTCTGCTTCAGGACGTCAGCTCGACATTGAAGTCATGGCCCGAGGGATGCAAAGCTATCCTCCTGGCCAGCGCTGGTCCCACTGTCACCGGTGACACTTGGGCTGAAGATAATATCCAGGGTATTGATCAGTCGGATGGGTCTGGTGCTCTGAATGCCGAGATAGGTGTCTTAATTGCACAGCAACGCCGAGGGAGAAATTTGCCACCGATTCCACGTGGCTGGGATGTCGGTTCCTTACAGGATGCCGATTTTGGTAATCGGTCTCTGTCCAAATTCATCTACAAAGTGCAGGCCCCTGATCCTATCCCTGCCATTTCCAGAAACGTTTATACAGTCAAGGTGGCTCTAGCTTGGGATGCCAAATTGCCATCTAACATTACCAAAATGCAGAGACCAACAACAACATTCCTCCTGGTCATCTATAAAAGCAGCGGCGGCCGTCCTGTTCGGTACTCCGGCTCGTTCGATAACAATTATGAGATTGTCGAATTTATCGCCATTCCAGGAGAAGAGTACCATATCTATATCGCTCGAGCTTCCGGTTCCGGAACCGTGTCGTATGGACTGGCTTGGAACGTCTCGTCACTGGCAGAGATATGTCCTGTCATTATCCCTGGGATGGAATGAAACTGTCAAGGAAAGTGGGGTAGTATAATACACCCGAAATAGTTTAGTTTTCATTTGTGTCGTGATGTCTTTATTTGTACTAGGGGATTCTCCACACTCCGTGAATCGAGACTTTCAGCTCCCCTCTCCCTCCTCACGCAAGCAAGGACACCCCAACGTGTCCTCGCAACATTCGCTCTTTTCATCTTTTCTTCAACCATACAATGCCCTACTGCATCAGCTTGGCATCATAGAAACTTATAACCTCGAAGTCAAGACGCTTGTATCTGGTAAACCTAAAACCTAAAACCTAAATCAGGGTGACGTTCAATTGGTATTCGGTTTTATTTCAATCACGTAGTCGTGACCGTCATAAGTATGTCATAAAGCGGCCTAGTCATAGACTATTTTAGATCCTCCAGGCGATGATATAAATGTGATTCCTCCTTTTCCAGTACCTTAGTTTATGCAGACTACTCGACCAGACCTTTCCATATTCCTAAGAATCTATCCATTCAATACAACATGGACCCGAACCTCCCCCCACTCCCACCTGTTTTGTCGTTGTCAGCCTTGCATGGTCCTGATTCTCAATCCCACCTCTTGCGTCAGGGTTGTTGGCTCACAAACGATCAATCATTGATGGACAAGCCGGGGGACGAGAACATCGAAGATGGCACACTACGAGTTGAGCACACACCCGACGGGATAATCATTAGCGGCGATACGTATTTTAGGCCATATATACTTGCTGACCCAAATCCTGAGGGTGGTGGTCACCACCATGTCCAAAAGATTCATTCTCCTCCTCCAAAGCCCGAGAACGGGATTCTAATTCAAGGAATAAAGTGGTACAACGGTTACCGACGGATCACAAAAATTGACATGGACTCATCCGGAGAAAACTTGAATCTCGAATATGAGCGGTGGTGGTTCAAGCGTGACAAAACATGGCAGAAATTACAGCCGTTCACAGTTGCAATGAGGCGAGTACCTGCACCAAGTGGATATCCCTCACAGAGCAACTATTTTGAGGGCGATGTCATAAATCCAAGTCTCGGCCTAGCCATTGGGCGGATGGCAATGGGCTGGGTGGCAGAGTCATACCGCAAAGTGACAGTGGAGATTGATACCGTCTCTGGGCCCGAGCGACCCTTGAGCGACGGTGGTAACCATGACTGGAGCACAGTTTTCTTTGATATAGGATTCGATCTGGATCTCGTCCGGAGCGATACTGCAGTCCCTCCACCTGGAGATGACAGTTGGTCGGCAGCGGAGCTTCATGCTGCTATGCTGATTTGGCGAGACAAAGTGGACCTTGACAAAGAATGGCGTTATTATATTCTAGCAGTCAAGCGTCTTGATGCTCCGGCATTAGGGTTGATGTTCGACTACAGCTACAACAATCAGAGCACGGATACAAACAAGGTCCCAAGAGAAGGTGCCGCAGTTGGTGCGGACTGGGTTCTACCAGCAACAGGCGACATAGACTGGGGCCAAGTGAAGGGACTTCCACTGGGCAAAGCGCTACCTGTCTATTTTCGGACGGTTATTCATGAAACCGGTCATGCCATGGGGCTACTTCATCCCAAAATCCCACCGGATAATGGATTCATGACGGAAAGTCTGGTTATTGCCAAAGCTGCCACTAATGATGTTCCCTTCCCAAAAAACATCAAATGGGCTTATAGTGATGAAGACTTGCGACGTTTACGGCACTGGCCCGATATCCAAATTCGTCCTGGAGGAACTCCATTTACTGAGGCGATCGACTTCCCCTTGGAAGACAGAAAGGTTGAGATCCAAGGTCTCAATCTCAGTGTGGTGGCTTTTATGACTGAAGTACCAATTGGGGCTCCAGTTCGCATCGAACTCAAGCTCGAGAACAAGGCCTGCACCCCTATCCAGGTCCCTTCCTCCATCAGCCTGAATTCCCCCTTCGTTACTGGGTTCGCAACGGAAATAGGCTCGGGGAAATCAAAAACTTTCAGTCCCTTCTCGTTATGCTCAGAAAGCACATCTCCCTTTCAGTCTCTAAACCCCGGCTCCTCTATATTTTCCTCGCTCACACTGTTCGGCGGCCACGAAGGACCACTCTTTCCACTTTCGAGTCTCTACTCAGTCGCATTCAATATTTCCTGGCCATTATGGACACCAAGATCGGAAGCTCCTTCGATTGCGTCCGTGTCTGGCACCAATACTGTGTTTGTTACGCCCCCTCGTTCCGCCTCTCATTCGAAAGCCGCCCATAGACTATTCGCAACAACAGACACGCACCTGGTTCTCGTGCTTGGAGGCGACTCCCCACACCTCGAAGAAGGCCGCAAAGCAATTGACATCGCGCTCCAAGATAACGCTTTGCGGCCACACTGGGCTGTTATCAAGGCCAAGAGGCTCGGAAGGCGTTTTATGGAACGGAAACCGGACCTTCGGACGGCTCGTCAACTAGTAGCTGGAGGTAATGTAGTTGCAACTCGACGTGAAAGACAAAAGCTAGAGAGCTTAGGCATTTTATTGGATGAAGTCCAGATTGGCGTGAATGAAAGTGCCTAGGCGGCAGCACAGGTCAAGTGTGAGTTTTCGAAGTGGTTTCATTAAGGTGTCCATCCGTAAATGTCTTCAGCACAGCAGAAGTTGATCGTGAAGCAGGCCAATATCCACTTCCTTGAATCACTCCCTTCCACGACACATTTACACAGTAGGACGGACAGATGGATGGATGTCTTCATTTACCATGACCCCTCACCCAAGTGATGTTGAGATCACAGATAATGATGATGAGATAGATTGAAGTGCGTAAAAGGGCAAAAATGAGAGAATACATGGAGTATTTAACAAATTCAGGTCGTAAGTCCACGAAGAGATATACAGTTGGTGGTAACAAGCATTGCAGCCTGGATGCCTCCACAGGCGAAAAAGCCGCTTTGGGCGGCGGTTTGGAAGCTCTGCGTGGTTTCTTCGTCAGTGTCCGTGCGGCCACTGCTCAGGTGCTATTGAATGTCCAAGTCAAGTATCTGGCCCGCTACCAAGAGGGTCCTCTGCCGATGGTGATTGGAGATTACCAGCGCGCAAATCCGCGCAGCCTTTACCCGCTAAAGTCTTTTTTTGAGGCACATGCGTGTCCGTAAAAGATTAGGAATAAAGACTCATTTGTGTCTTCACGGAGTATGAGGATATATATTGCTCTGGGTCACTTTGGGACGTGCAGCCCACGGCGATGGGAGCACGCCCAGCGGACCAATCAGGGTGGCGATTGACTGGGATGGGCGTTGATTCCGTCGGCTACTAGGGAGTAGGGACATCTAAAATACAAAATACTAGTTAACGACTAGTTTAGGGAAACAAGATTCTACGCCCCTACAGAGCAGTTCTGTCACGCGGAATATAACCAGGGTTGATCCGTCCGAATACATTTTTGACACCAGAAATACCTCAGAAGCAAATAGAACATCGAAAACCGCTAGGTAACCGTGCCAAGCGCCCAACCACCCATACCAGGGGTTGGTGCGCCCCACCAGATACCAGATTTTCACTAGATACCAGATTTTCTCAATTTTATCAACTTCCCATACATTTTTATACCATACCATGATGCCAAATTCAACCGAAAACATCGAGGATCGAATCCAGGAAGCTGTCAAAGCCTTCCACCAAGCCAAGAAGCCTAATATCGCTAAATTGGCCCGTGATTTTGATGTTTCATCTGATCGGCTCCGGGGCCGAATTCGTGGGCGCCAGTCTAATGCCGACCGCGCTAAATCAACCAGAAGCTTGAATTTAATTCAAGAAAAGGCACTCACTAGCTGGATTCAAATCCTAGATAGTGCATATATCTCACCTACCCCAGAGATGGTTGAAGGGGCTGCAAATTCCATCTTAAAAATGGCTGGTGAAGATCGGGTTGTTGGCCACAACTGGGCATACCGCTTCCTCCAAAGACTACCCCCGGATTGAACTATATCCTCCAAAAACCCAAGGAAAAATTGAGGGTGGAGAGCGAGGATTACGGTGCTTTGCTACTTTGGTTTAATAACCTAAGAGAGGTTATAAACCGGCATCAATTCCTACCACATGAGATCTTCAATTGGGATGAAACCGGCTACCGAATTGGCCAAGGCAAGCAACGTAAGGTTATTACCTCTCGTGCAACTAGCGATATCGCCACTGGGGGTCAATCGGAGTCTATTACTAGCATTGAATGCATTAATGCCGATGGTTGGGTGATGCTACCTTGGTTTCTCCCTAAGGGTAGTCTTCATATGGCGGAGTGGTATGAAAGCATGCCTAGTTCTACCGATCTTCGTATTAAACCTACCCCCAATGGTTGGATTGACGATGAAACTGCGCTTGAATGGCTTTTTTCCTTTGATGCAGCTAGTATAAAACTAGTCCAAAAAGGCAGGCCAAGGCTACTTATGATGGATAATCATGGTTCCCATACAACCTTTGAATTCGTCGATTTTTGCAGGAAGAACTTCATTATCCCACTCTACTTTTTACCCCATACCACCCATCTCTGCCAACCGCTAGATGGTCAGGCTTTTCAAAGCTTAAAACATCATTTTCGTGCGATGAATAATGAGGTTGTGATGTGGGGTGGAAGTGTATCTAAAAAGCGGGATTTTTTTAGGATGATCCTAGAGATTAGGAAGCAGGCTCTCACACAGAGAACCATTCGATCTTCTTTTAGATCTAGGGGTATTTACCCGCTAGATCCAGAGCTTGTTCTTAGTCCTCTACGCCAAAAATATCTCGAAGCTGAAGGGTCCCCCCTTAGGATTTTCACGCCATCTCCCCCCCAGACTTTACAAGCTCTGTCACCAATTCGCCACCAGATACAATTGAGCGGGTTGAAAAGCTTAATACTAAGCTTGTCATTGATATGGAGCATCTACAGAAGAGCGTACAAAGGCATGTTCAACGAAGTATGAATGCAAGTACGCTTTTATCTCAACAGCTTGAATTGGTCAAGGCCGATTTAAAGAAGTCTCGGTCCCACAAATCAGATGCAAACCAGCCGAGAAATAAGAAGTCGATTCTTGGATCTAAGGGCTCAGTGCTATCACCTATATGTGCAAATAGGATGATGGTGAAAAGACAGGATGCTGATTCTAAGAAGTTGAAGCGCTTACAGGCAAAGCATGCCAAGGAATTGGCAGCGCAGCAGAGAGCTCAGGAAGCGAGGGATTTAATTGAAGCTGAGCATGAAGCTTCAATGGCGGCAAGAGATAGTATTGGTGCAAATTGGTATATAGATAGTCATGGTGGTTACATGTAAATAGTATTTTCATATTTGAACAAATTGAAAATCTGGTATCTAGTGAAAATCTGGTATCTGGTGGGGCGCACCAACCCCTGGTATGGGTGGTTGGGCGCTTGGCACGGTTACTAAAACCTTTAATCCACCCTTCCATCTGAGACTGGAATTCATTCACTCTCTCAAGTGTTAATGGGCCAGCGATTCCAAACTGTAATCTTCGCTGGTAAATCCGTTGATACAGCTTCACCTGACTCAACTGGACTAATACGCCAGCACGCACCAAATTAGCCGATTCCTGCATTTCTCGTTCCATCGTATCCCGGTCCGATTTCCAATCTCCAAATGGCTGGAAAATTCTCTGAAACAGGTCTTGTAATATGTTATCGAGGTCCAATCCTGCATTAGATTGCATCATCTTGACCACGTAGTTGGGGTGAAACCCTTGAACCACGTGAATTGGGTGTGGCTCAACATGGACCGTGCGGACTCGTTGCGCTCGAGCATTGCTCACCGACGAGCAGAGGCTCCGAGCCACGGCATGGTCCACAAAACCCCATCGATCGTTTAACAGTTGGGTGCCACACTGGCAAGAGATCAGAATTCGAGGCCGAATGTGCCTTAAACACAGAAGTGTAAGGTCAAACGCCTCAAGGGCGAAATTGCGTTGATTCTCTTCACTCAGCCGATCCATGAAGTCATTAGTAACCATTGGGAACGTATCGAAAACAATGATGTCCCGGATGGTAAGATGCATGGGTCGAAGAACCTCCTGTATAGCTTGTACATAACTACTAACCGGCCCTTACATTTTTTACCAAAATTACAGACCCTCGCATAGCGAGGGTCCGCCAACAATATGCAATACTCCATCTAAATGCAACGTTTCTTTTTAAATTTTACACTTTTACCTTCTCACTACCCACACCACCAAAAATGCCTAAAAACAATAGAGATATAGAGAAACAGCTTCTGCTAGCTCTCGACTCTCTATCTGAACAAACAAAGCCAAATATCACGAAAACTGCGCGAGAATTCGCGGTTCCTATGCACCGACTACGCCGGCGATGGAAAGGTGGAAAATCGCTTTTTCAACGACAACCCAATGGCAGGAAGCTTAATCCTGTACAAGAGACGGCTTTATGTGAATATATTGATTACTTTGATACGGTCGGAGCGTCGATAAATCGTCGCCAAATTGCTATTGCCGCCAATTCAATTCTTGAAGAAGCCCACCATGACGAGACTAAACCACCCCCACAAATTGGTGACCACTGGATAAAACGTTTCCTAGATCGGTATCCTGAATATCATATACGACGCCGGCGAGCTCTTGACGTTGAGAGAGCTTCTGCCCTTGACAAAACTGTGGTGGAAAGGTGGTTTCAAGACTATCAACGTGTGGTGACTGAGTATGGTATATGCCAACAAGATATCTACAATTTTGACGAAACTGACTTTCAAATTGGCGTTGGACGCGATCAATTCATCATTACTAGGCATCCAAAAAAGAAGCTATTCAATGGATCTGTCACTAATCGTGAATCTGTCAAGGTTTTAGAGGCTGTTTCGGCCGATGGTTTTACCTGCCCACCACTTATAATTCTAAGTGCTAAGCAGGCATTACTACGTTGGTTTGACGCGATTGAAGGTGACGAGCATATATCTGTAACTGATACTGGGTATATCAACGATACTCTAGCATATCAGTGGATTCAGCTCTTCCACAAATGGACAATTGGTCGTACAATTGGTAGAAAGAGGCTTGTTTTATGCGACCGTTTTGGATCATATTTGACGCGTCAATTCGTTGAATTTTGTGAGAAGAATAATATCATTTTATTCTTCTTACTCTCCCATACTAGCCATATACTACAGCCTCTTGATGTCGGGGTGTTTAGCGTGTATAAACACTGGCATAGTGAGGCTGTTGAAGCGGCTACTATGACTGGATGCCGCAAATTCTCGAAGGATGAATTCCTATACTCAATTGGCGAAATCAGACGAAAAACCTTCCAGCCGCATACAATTAAGCTTGGATTTAAATTAACAGGCCTCTGGCCTATTAATTCCAAGCTTATTACTGATGAATTGGAGTCGTATGATCCATATCATGACAATTTACCCCGGCAGGATACTCCGTCAACTGGCTCTCAAAACACCGAATTCAGCACTCCAAAAACAGCTGAGAGAATTCGAAGAATCAGCCATCGTCTTAATCAATACGATCCTACCACTCAGCGTTTCAAAGATGCGCTAGCAAAGCTTGCAAAGGGTGCTGAAGCGCAGGCTATGTTGGCTCTCCAGCTACAGCGGGAATTCGATTCTACCCAGGCTATTATGGGGGCACGCCATGCTAGATATGACAATTCGCGCCGTCATATACAGATTACCGGTATCATCAATTCCACCCAGGTCAAAAACATGAAGTATAAAGAATATAAATTGAGCGAAAAGGCCCATCAAGAAAAAACGAGGCGTAAGTGGAAGAAGGTGTTGATCGAAATCAGGAAGCATGGAAGAGCCAAAAAACGCCGGGGAGATTAAATTGTTTTTGTATTATAGTAGCAAAATGGCTAATTGATTTCTTTACTATTTGTAATTAATTAAATTACTACGTTGTAGGGTAGTAAAGGGTGGTTGAAGAAAAATGTATAAAAAACGTTGCATTTAGATGGAGTATTGCATATTGTTGGCGGACCTTCGCTATGCGAGGGTCTGTAATTTTGGTAAAAAATGTAAGGGCCGGTTAGTTCTCTAAGTACCCCTAATTTGGAGTTCGTGGCTACCCGGGAAGGTTAAAAAGAATGGGGTGGATGGCATAAAATCGAATGGACTTAAAGTCAGAAAAGTGGAGCCACATAAACAAATCGAATTAACAACCATTCTATTTACCCCCATGGGATAGGGTCGTCCATCGGACTTTGGCTTCCCCACACGCCGATCTCCTGCCGGCCTTGTAAATACCGTACGATCTCGTCCGCATGTGGATCTAATCGTAATGCCTTGTGCAAAACCATGAACCGCGCGATCTTAATCATCTTAGATAAGATCGGGGGATACGATTCCACCGTCTGCCAACCGTCCCGGCTGCGGCCCAAGACGGCTAATGTGCAGACCAACGCACACTCGTAGTCCTCGGCCCCGACACGCTGGTTCAATAGCTCAATACAAAAATCAAGACACGCCTGCTGAATGGGAGTTAAGATATACGGCTCGGGGTCCTCCTCCGTACGATGGCCGGCAATCGGGTCAGCACCGCAGGTTGTCGACTGGGCATGTCGCCATAACGCCTGCCACGCGCGCTGTTGCCGGCTGATGAACCGGTATCGGGGACTCTGCCACGCGTGGGGCTGCTGGGTACGAGCAAAAAACATCAACACGCGCTGCCATGGTTCCACGTGCCGCTGGATATTGTCCATGTCCATATACGCCTGCAGCGGCTGGTGCGGGCTCTGGTCCTGGTCGGTACGAGCATCGGAGCGGCCTCGATGCGGATTAAATGGCCACGGTGCTGGGTGATCTGCTGGCTTACGCGGGCGAACCCGTCCATCGCATCCCATATCACACGGATAGCACCTTCAGGGCTAGACCTCGACATGGTCCGGTTCCGGTTCTGCAGGTCGGAACCTGGAGTATATAATTTTGTCAAGAAATTTCCTATTTTGGGTGCATAAATTGCTGATTCATCTTTTTTTATTACTGTTATTTACACATGTTCTGGTCTCGCCCTCTACCAGTTGTCAGAACAAGCTAAAATTGTATGGACTAGTATGCATTCAGGACGAATGAGATCAAGCGGAACCAATTCAGGATAAATAGAATGATTGATTAATTAGAAAATATGCGGTCAAGGGCAGGTTGAAATACCCTCGGAACGTGACCATACTCGGTGGTTATTATACCGAGATTGCCATTTGAAATAGTTTACCATACAAAACAAAAGGAAATGTGGGTTCCTGGGTAACCAATCGCTTGCTAGTGGTAAGATACCACTCCATGCTCTGACACCAGTCTTCGACGGTAGCTACCCCTATATGAAATCATGTGAAATTGTCTCGTAAATCAATTATTTCGGCTAGAAATATCACTTTGCCTTGAAATTCCATCTTATTTTCAATCTTGGTGGGTAGGGAGATAGTGTATTGTAAAGATTATAGTGTATGAAGGGGGAAATATATATTTTCTACTACGGGTAACCCTACCATGTTTTCGTAGAGCTCCTCTAAAAATTATACACGCGTAGAATCTAAATTGAATAAGCTAAAAATAAGCCCAAGTAAAAGGGATAGCTCTTACAAGTAATTCTAGCCATTTTAAAATCCAAATTTTCCATTTAATATTAACTATTATCGTCGCCTAAAATTGTTGAACTCCCTGGTCGCATTATTTCTGCCGAAAACTTCAGTCGGCCGATTTCTGCGGAAATGCTACAACCTCCAGGTCTGCCAGGGTAACCGCCAGGTTCTGCGCAGTTCGACCTAGGAAGAACCTGACAGAACCTGGCGCTGTGGGTTCTAGTAGCCAATTATCACGTATAGCGATAGTAGACCTGGTCTATATTCAAATATCCACGCGTCCGTTCAGCTCGCGACGACCGGTCTATCTGACTATTCCCCCCTAAATCCTTCCCCTGGTAGTTTCAGAGCTTCTCGTAAGTCTCTTCTGTACATCTCCTCACTTTTATCCCTATACCTTCTTATTCATTATGTCACAGAGTCAACTCTCGCAGTTTTCCGACCACTATCCCTCATCTATATTTGAGGACACACCCCTGGATAATCTCCCTTCATCCGACAGCGTCCAGCCCTTCCCTCCTGATGCTTTATACGGCGATACTCCTGGCTCTACACCTTCTTCCAAATTTCCGCTTCCAGTGAAAGGAATTCGATCTAACAATATTAAGTGTACAACTTCTCAGCATTGTCACATCCCTCATTCACCGAGTCATGTTGCCTATCTAGCATGCATTGTCTATTGTGCGGGATGTGGATGTTGACTATAACACGTCAAAAAATAAGGAAAAGAGGCTTGACCGGTCACTGCGCCGGGCCAAGATGACTCGAGTGTTTTCTTTACAGGGACTATGCGGTCCGTGTTTATTTGAGGATGGGGGAATACGGGAGTAGCCATACATGGATTAGAAAATCATGTGATAAAGTCTTCAAAGATCATATTTATGTTAGCATCTTAAGGCGATGTTGGCCGCTACTATACCCTCCTTGCCTTCTTCACCGCTCCCAAAGGCAAGGTTCTGTTGAACACGTTGTTGACCCTCTTCCGGAGTCTCCGCCGTCGCTCTCTCTACTCCGGATAGAGAGTAGTAGTGTTGCACTTTCTCAATCGCGCAAAAGCGCTGGTATTTACCCTGTAACTGAAAAACCTCTGCATATGTCTATCTGGCCTGAAGGCATCGTACGGCGCAAACGTCGACATTTCTCTAAATAGAGGGAGCGAACCGAGAGTGAAGACTAAATCCAGTATGCCTACGCAGCCACCTGTCCGGCCAGAGTTCTTGGCTTCCGCGCCACAAGAGGTTTCTGTATTATCGCTAGAGGAAGCGGTAACTCACTAGGTGTTTGTCCAGGTAGCAGAGACAGAGCGGTACTGATTGTTACGCCGGAATGCAGATCCATATTCATACAGGAGAGATGCTCAGTTTTATGTTCCTCGGCTACGAAAATCGACAAAGGCGGTTTAAGACACAACTTTGGGAACATCACTGTAGTCTACACCCAGCGCAGTAACACCAATAACCGGTTTCAAGTGTCCTACAGCCATGATTTTGGCTGTTCTGCACTCGGCACAATCAGTTAAATGTGAGATCCAGTTGTGAGTCAAGTTCATATGTCGTGGACAAGGCAATACCTGAAGACATGAGAAGCCTGAGTAGACGACGGTAGTGGATCGAATAAAGCACCTCTGTTAATTGATCTTGACAACTCCTGGTGCTCCCTCTAGAAGTGATTTGCACTAAGTCAGTCACTGGGGAACTACGTTATAAGTCAAAATTTAGCTCAGTGAGCATGGCATGACTTCTATGAAGTTTGGGAGTATTGGTAACGGCTACGAAGCCATCCACTACTTATATAACGATTCCCTGTCGTCCGTAACGTGACTCAACCTGTTGCCACCAGTTAGCGTGAGTAGATTGGATGTGACCCGCTAACTTTATCGGCCTCTTACCCAATCTCTGTCTTAACGGCTGGAGATATGCTTGTTACTCGAATGGTTGAATACCAAATTAGAGAAACGGGCTACGCATGGTTTGACGTGGTGTTGAGGGCTGGCCAAACTTAGAGGTTCTGTCTACCAGATAGCAGTTGCTTTTCAACAGAGGTTCATTAAAACTTCATGAACTTTCTCCAACAAGATACCTACATGAGACTGACATAGGAGCATACGAGAGTTATCGTGTCTGCCTCGGCAGCTCTTTCGAGAACCAGTCGATATTGTTGTGATATGAGGCTGGTGCAGATCAGGAACCAAACCGAACCATCGGAATTAATCCCGACTTATCTATGCGAAGAAACAAGTTGATTGGAAATCAACTAGATCTTCTCGTTGTATATATAGACTCATGTTTCCCTCTGAAATAAAAGTCAATTTATTTCCTCTGAACTACAACAGATATGATAATCAGTACCATGCAGACAGTATATATAACGATGCGCCCATTACACCAAGACCGTTATCATCGATCGTTCCATCAATTGACATGATATATTTATTCATCCGTATACTTTGAGAAATGTATTTCAAGAATCAAAATCAAGTGCTCGTTGTGAGAAGCGGGAACGGATTGGCATCTGAAAATAGATTGCAGAACGATAAGATGATAACACCTTATCGGCGGAGCACCGGGTGGATCCAACCAACAATCCCCCGACAACCAAACCCTGTCCCGTCTCCCGCACGGTAGCACTCACTTGGGCAATTCGATAGGCTTCCTAAATGCCCTTGTCCTACGGATGACAATCGGCCTCGACACTTCCCTTAACGGTGGTCTCTCGTGGACGCCCTCCTCGCTCTTGCGCTACTGTCCAAAAATATCGCCCAATCTGGACATTTCCCTCGAGTGACCGTCTACGCGACCACCGCATGCGACCGTAGTCAACCACCCACAACATCTACATATATATCGCAGTCATGAATCATCTCGGCAGTTGGCGGTGAATTGGCAGCATTTAAAGTATGAATCCAATGAATTAATGCCTGTTCTTGCTCTGGCTCTAGTGCTTTACTATGGCCAGTACGGCACTTCGGAAATTTACGACCCTGCACCCGGCCGCGAAGCAATTGGTACGGGACGGCGAATTCCTGCGCCAATTTGGCGATTTTTGGCTTCTCCATTTTAGCATATGCTTGCAATGCAATTTCAATGCGCTCTTCCAATTCTTGGGTATTTTTAGGCATATTTGGTGGTGTAGGAATTCTTTGAAATTGGTGGGTTGGTTAAAATTATAATTAGTGTAAAATTCGGTTAACTGCACAGCATAGCTAACCTTAGGTTCTATTTTGATCTATAGATTGTTTTTATATAATTGTTCGTTTCAAAAATGGCATGTTCAAAATCCAAAGTAGCGATTGGAAGAATGGGCATGTTGAATTTTCTACGGGATATTAAGCTTTCTTGAACAATTCGACTCAACCTTAATTTATCTTGATCAATAGAGAGCTGGGCCTAATAATTCGCAAAATTGAAAAGTCGAAAAGGTTAAATCGCAAATAATGGTTTCAGCATTCAAATCTCCACCCCACCAGTGGCGGAATCATCACTCTCAGCCTCTGCGCTGATCTCACTGGGAAAATAGGGAACGCACCGACGATTAAAACTCGGGTCCATGTGAGGTTTCCGAGAACCCTGCCCAGCCCCATATTGAAGGTCAACCGTCTTTCGTAGTTCGTCAAGAGAGAGGGTAGCCACGGACGGGCCGAGGTTTGTTTTGATGTCAATAATGGTTGAGGTGCCTCCCGCTGTGGAGTCCGCGAAGCCCATCCGCTTACCAACATTGGTAACGATATCGTTTGTTAAATCCCTCCTGACAGTGTCGATCATGCGAAACAGAAAGCGCGTCGCGGCATTCTGTTCGTCCATGCGGACATCAGGAAGCCGCCACTTCAGATAGAGTTTCTGGTGGGGTCTGAAAATTAAAGCGAGTGGCCGTGGACCCACTCTTTTTCTCCCATACAAAAATGCAAAGCCCTAATCCGAGTCACGGTGATTCCCCCCTCCCCCCATGGGATAGGGTTGCCGTTCCATTCGTATCTTGAGTTGGATTTTGAGAGGTCTCCTGCATTCTTAATGGGCTGATCTGTATTCTGCGCGTGCGCAACCCTCTACAGTTAGGCCCAAACTACGCTCTAGCAGAGGGGGAAGAAAAAGCGCCAGGAATGGCACCGCTTCTTTTTATATTAGGCTCAGAGCTTAGTCAATATCAGAAGATGGATCAAATTCTGACTGTTTTAATTTCAAAGTCTTTTTCAAAGGTGAAAGGCAGAAATGGGGAGAGCTTGTGGGGGATGTGACGGTTTTACTGAAGCGCTTAGTTAACTAGTTAGCGTGCGCAGCTTAAGTAATAACCTTAAGTGCCGGTTTTGACGGATCGGGAAGGAAAGCCCACCCATGTCCATTGAATTTCAAACGTGGATAAGTTGGCGAATAATGAACCTAGGGAGGTAATAAAGAAACTGTCGTAGAGCCTGAAAGATTATCTATTCAATGGTATCTTATTTTCGTTATATTAATGATGCGAGGTGTGGTACGAGACTGCATTCATATGCAGGTTAAATTCTACTTTGTATGACGCTTCGACTTCAGCATTGCCCTCGGCTGCTTTACTTTCTTTGCCCTCATCCTCGTCGGAGATCGGCTCAGCATTTTCTTCATTTACTTTCAACGCTTCATCTTCTTCAAGTGCCTCTTGACTCTCGCTCTCCACCGGTTTTTCTAGACGAGTTAAGTGCTATTCCTCCGGCGTGAATTCCTCTGAGCACATATACCTTGATTATTGAAAATGGCGTTCGGTATGCAGGAATTCACGAGTGCGAGAGGCTCTCCTCTAGAGGCAGTATAAACCAGCACTAAACCATCAACGGGCCTGAGAAATAACGAGAAACCTTTATCTGCCTAGAACTAGGACTTCCGTGGTCTCGGCGCTAAGTATTTAGCAAGGCAAATTATATGGGTATTCCCCACAAGATTGTTCACGCTATTCTAAATTCCCATGGTTCGAGAGCCACCGTCATGCACAACCAAATTTTCCATTCATAAAATGAATGAGCTTTTCTATATCGAGAGAGCCAATATAATAGGATGCCCCGGCCGCCATACTGTAGGGGCTCTATGATCGGGCTTGGCGAATGCGAGCCCTCCTACAACTACAAGCCGAATTAAGTCATACGACGACCAAAATCAAAGAACAGACAATGATACAATATTCCGAAATGTCCTAACAAAACTTTTAAGATGCTTCATGTTTGACTTCATGGTGCTTCAAAGCGTTGTCTTTTCGTGTGAAATCCTCGCCACATAAGGTGCAGGTAAATGGCTTCATGACTCCCCAGAGGACCTCAGCCAGTCCCTTATGGGCAACTCTAACATGCCGACCAACGTCTCTTCTCTCGGCAGCCGCATAGGAGCAGTTGGCACATTTGAAAGGTCGAGTATGTGTCTGAATATGTTTCTTGAAATTCGTTAAAATTGTATAAAGCTAGGGTCGAACTTCAAACCTACCGTAGCTCACATTTAAAAGTATAGCCATTTTGCTGTCGACAACTCTCGTCTTGGCAGTAGTACAATCCATCATATGGCGAAGGAGTGATATGTTCATCTGAAGGCATCTCAGCTTCTTTAGATTTCCAGTTACTCGTTATCACCGCATCATGATGGTTTGCATTGGTCACTGCGCTAGGCCCACCTAAAGAATCGCCAGAAGAAGCACGAACAGGAATCTGACATTCGGCATTCTAGTAACCGTGACACAAGGTACTCTATAGAGTCTGATTCGCGTCGATGACTTCTTGAAGACCTGCAGACGGAAATGCCGGTGTATCTAGATGCGCAAGCTCTCAAGTGTAGAGTTTCTGCTGTCGATGTTCACCCATATTGTTTCAGTTGGCGGTGCCGAAGATCGGAGAAATTGCATGAGTCATATAGGCCCCACGCTCATTGAAGCCCATAGATGACACCTCTGTGCTAGATTTATTCAAGACGGGATAATAGAGTGATATCCGGTGAGCACCTTGATGAACCGAGGTGAGGAAATATATACCTCATGCTGCCGAGATTGCACGTGAGTTATGACGAACTGCCTTCCTTCTCTCCCATCCAAGTCTGGAGCAAATATTAAGGCAAAACAAGGCAATACGACGATGAAGAACTTGTTTGACCACTACGAATCAAATATTGCACATTAGTATAGATTGGGTAGACACGCAGAAGTCTTATTTGGTTCAACCACGTCTTTCTTCATGATTGGTTTTCGTTCACCGCCTACATAAACACCCTTGAATATCGAAGGAGTAAGCAACTATCTATCTCCATGTACCAATTTTCTCTCGTACAGAACTCTATCTGGCCACGTTCTATTTGACCACGTCACATCGGCTATGGCCTGCTTTAGTGTGTCTATCAATTTATTACATATACATGACGCATCAGAAACCAAGTAACGGAGGTGATATCCTAAAAGGGAGTAAAATTTGTATTGTCTATTCTTGATTGGGATTTGTAAGATATAGGGCTGCCACTCCGGCGATATGCATGATATTTGAGACGAGTGTGCCCCGCTCTGTATCTTTTGTTTATCTTTTACGGTATGCCGGTTACGTTGACCAATGACTAGATCAAAATAACCATTGTACCATCGCTGTATAGGTTATAAATTGTCTAGAACCACTTGTAAAGCTACAAGTCGAAATGAGACACGCATGGTGTGTCGGTCCAAACCTGCTTCATATATTGGGCCCCCACCTCCTCTCGCAGCTGCTCTATTATACCTATTTAGGCCCTAAATTACACGAAAATTCTCTTGTGTTGATGCGAATGTCTTGAATCATTGAATTGTGCCTTGAAACACTCTTCATCCGATTCGAACGCGAAGAGACGATGGCTGAAGAGGTCGTGGCTGGATCAGCCCAGCTGTGGATGGATTACCTATCCCTCCATCCAACTTATCGAGATTTGAGAGATTTGAAGCAAAGAGTTCGTCAACACTTCTTAGTTTCCAAGTCGAAGTCTAAACTTAAGATTCAGGGATGGTCAGATAAAAGCGGTGATACCTTTTTCGAGAACCGAAGAAAAAATGCGAGTAAACCGAATCGAAAAGGAAAAGCATCGTTCTACGAAATGACGAAGCAGGTGGGGAAAGGAATGGCATTGGAAACAAGCATATTCAAACTGGACTCTCCTTCTTCTAGCATGCTTGACCTCTGCATGGCGCCCGGTGGGTTTACTGCGACGGCCGCAAAGGAACTTCCAAGACCACTTATCGATGCTGTTACCCTCCCAACCAAAACTGGTGGCTACGAAGTATTGGCCAAGAATATTTGCCAAAACATCATATATGCGGACATCACAATGTATCCCACGGAAATGGCTTGCCAGGAAGACATTCCGACGGCACATCCTGATTCCAGCATTTTCGAACTATGTCAGCCGTTCCTTTACAACCGATACGATATAGCAATCTGCGGAGGAGCTGTAGGTAGAGATCACCCCAGAGGAAATTACCGCAGCAACTGTGAGGCTCAGCGTTTGATGGTCTCACAGCTAGTATTCGCAATGCATCGTCTCAAGCCCGGGGGCTCCATTGTCCTACTTCTCCACCGTGTCGAGTCTTGGGAGACAGTATGCATACTTCACGCTTTCAATCAGTTTTCTGATATTCAACTTTATAAACACCCCAAGGCACATGCTATCAAATCATCTTTTTATCTTGTTGCAAAAAAAGTGAACTTGGAGCACCATGCTGCCGGAGAATCCATGAAATATTGGAAAAGTCTCTGGAAATACCTGACTTTCAGAGAATTTGAAGAAGTTCCATTCGCCCGGTCAAATCTGTATAGGTCCGATGATGCGTTCGTGGAAACAATGCGAGATAGTTTCGGCCCTCAATTTCTCAGACTAGCGGAACCTATCTGGAAAGTCCAGGCAGAAGCGCTTCGCAATGCCCCTTTTATGCGACATGCTTAACATTTCGACGTGACATAGCGGTTGAATGAAAAACGTATTGTATGATTTCAGTCTGCGCAACTTAATTTGCAATGGGAGAATCGCTCTTTAGACGGTACTGTCCAATAGACCGACGAGGGTATGAAACCCAGAGGGTACCTTGCCAGCTCAACATTGGGCATTAGCGATAAAGGCTAAGCATGCAAATTGCCTCACATCCGGCTCTGGCGATCTATGTCCCATGCGTCGGAGGAATCAGGGATTGGCTAAACTGTAAATGGGCATCACCCCACACTGTTATTTGAAAACTTCGGTTCCCTCGTCAGCGCCAAATAAAGCATGTCCTTAGAGTAGGTTCACTTGCATCAGGCGTCCCAATAACCCACATCCTGTAGTGCAAACCTCTTCTTTCGTACTGATTCTCGAAATACTAGGCTGATTGGTCTAAACGCCTATTAGACATGGGCAAGCATACCGGATTTGGGCTACTTGGACTACTTTGGCAACTTGACTATTGATTGAATACCTTGTTTCAATAGGCAGTATTGACTGGACTTAGCTGGTACTCGAATAAACAGCATTACCTCGACGTTGAAGGATGACGGCGACTACGTCCCTATCTCGCCAACACGAAATAAGGGCTATTCAATCCAACTCCGACTCCGAACCAATGTTGAATGGCATCATAGAAATGCCGTACGATTCATCCCGAGATTGTCAAGGATTCATACTTAGAGATCGACTCATACTACGAGGTACCGATACAAATGTTAGTCGAGGGCAGAGATGATTTAGGCAATCATTCAATGATTTGGTCTAAACATCAAGGAGGTCTGGGAGAGCTTCGAGATTACATTCATCGTCGTGATTCTATTCGCAAAGCA